GCCCATGTTTATATTAGGAACATTTTGGATCATAGGCCTGCAATCTTGAGGAATTAAAAGTGTGACCTTACAGATAAACTAAACCACATTCCATTTGTACAGTTTACATTTAAGTTGTGGCAAAGGAAAAATCTTTCTGTCTACTTCAACGTCTTATTTTTGTTTCTGAACTTCATCGCTGTGTCTCCTGGCATGCAGATCTGGACGAATGTTCTAACGGAACCCACCAGTGCAGCATCAATGCTCAGTGTGTAAACACCCCCGGCTCCTACCGATGCGCCTGCTCCGAAGGGTTCACCGGAGACGGCTTTACCTGCTCAGGTGAGTGAGAGCCCCAAGGTGTGTGCTGGTGTGATTTTTCATGGAATGCTCTCTAAGTTTTCCTTATTTGAAGAAAACTATAGTTAAATGAGGCTGAAATCCTACCTTTGTTATCACCACTGACTTACAGGTGAACATATATCTTTCTCTTACCTGAAACACAAAACCTGAAAAAGTTTTAAAATAATGACATTTATTACTAACATGTATTATTAATGGCTCTCATTTATTGTATTTGTTAATCAACACCCTGGTCAAAAAAAACACAGGCTCTGTCTGAATCAGAGCACCTGGATTCAGATCTTGCCCGCACTGCTCACTGGCTGTGTGGCCTTAGGTAAGTTACTGAATCAGTACGGCCTTACACTCCCCATTTTTAAACAGGCATAGTAACCATAATAATACCACCTCTTTTTTTCTTTTTTTATCACTGAATGAATGATATGGGGAAAACATTCAGCTTTTGAAGACCTGCAACCCACCCAGTCAGTGTGACTTAGGGTTTATCAAAAGCTCAGCTTACCAAATGGTGCTGAAAAGATCTGGCCTAACACAAGCCAAGGGCTTAGGAAAAACACATCATATGCACCCAATAAATGTTAGTCGCAGTTTTTAGCTGCTATTCCTTCTTCATAGGACCAGTCATCTGACTCAATTAAAAGGCAACATCTTCTAGGTGGACATAAAGTATGAGACTCTTAAGTTTTAAAATAGCTGTTTCTCAGTTGAATTTCAATACACACTTTAAACCCAAAATTGAAAGCCTCGCATTTCTAATTATTGATGTCAAAAGCACAGACTTATTTTCAACTGTGTTGTCTTTAAGAAAACATTTTTATACTATTTTATTACTTTTTAACCTCTGACACTGCATCTTTCCTAGCCTTTGGGGGCACAGTGGTGTGAAGGAAAGGGCGTGGCTTCCTGTCAGACACAGCTGTGCTCAGATCCTGGCCCCCCCACGGAGTAGCTGGCAGCGACTCCCCCAGCTCCGTGAGCCGCTCTTAGCCTCAGGTTCTTCGTCTTCTAAATCTCACAGCATTGATAAAATGGAAACATGCATGTCAGGCGACCAGCACACTGCCTGGCAAATATTAGGCCCTCGGTAGACATTGCTCTTTGCTGGCTCCACATTTTCCATCTGACAGAATGAAATAAATTGTATTTTAGGTCCATTTGCATAATTAAGATGGGAGTGTCTTAGTAAGAATATAATGACAGGAAAGGAACTTGCCTCATTCCTAAAGAGTGCCCGTAAATTGCTTAAAAATACTTGAACCAGTGAAAGAACCAGTTGTTTATCCTAATACTATGATGTTTTCAAGTGAATGCACACCATTTTAAGATTAACCCCAACGTGCTTGGTCATATCTAATAGAGTTGGTGTCTACTGATGGCGTCAGAGGGAACTGAGGCAGATGTGAGAGACGCCTGATGCCCGCGCACTCTCTGTTAATCAGGTGAAGGTTAGCGTCCAGGTGAATAGCCTTACTCGCCAGCTGTTAGGTGAATATGATTAATTGTGATTCTGTGTTCATGAGCCGTAACTCAAGCCGCTAAAATTGATCTAGTTATAATGGAAGGAAAAACTATGTCATGACATGTGGAATTTAATAGAGATGTAATTTGCTCCCCGCCCCCAGATGTCGATGAGTGTGCAGAAAACATAAATCTTTGCGAGAACGGACAATGCCTCAACGTCCCCGGTGCGTATCGCTGCGAGTGTGAGATGGGCTTCACTCCAGCCTCCGACAGCCGATCCTGCCAAGGTGGGTCCCCAGGATTGCGACTCGCTTCCAAGTTGCAGCCACTGCAGCCAAGGAAACCACCCAGAGGGCTGGAACAGGCTCCACCTGGAAGCAGAATACGCAGCACATGCTGCATATATAAAAGTCGTTCGCCTAAGCACGGATTATTTTGCCGAACGGATAATGATGAAGGCGGCTTTCATCTCTTATGAAGTTTTCCTGGCCAAGAGCCAACAGTTGGAAGTTGGGCTCATTCTCTTTTTTTTGTTTTGTTTTAAACCATTTCTCTTTTTCTTTTTTTTTAACTAAATGAATGACACGTGGAAAAACTATTCATCTTTTACAATATGATATATCACCTCCCCCGGTCACTGCTACTTAACGAGTTTATCAAAATCTGAGTAGCACATTTTTGGCATTTACCTCCAGGTGTTCGTTCACTGTCTGCATGTCTGTCTGAGTGGAAGCCCTCCTTGGGCCTCCTCAGGGCTGCACCTTTGGCCTAGTAGGAATGTCTCCTTCCTCTAAGTTATAACATTCTCTCCCTCTCCTAGAAAGGGGACTTTGTGACTAGTATGATATCTTTCCAAGAAAAAGAGTTTGGGTTTTCTTTTAAATTAGAAACTCAGTTCCCTTTCCGTATAGTTTAGGCCACTGGGTATCCTTAGGGAGTCCATGAAACTATAAATGAATAAAGGAAAAAGATTGAAAACAATTCATAAACCATAAAGCTTTAACAAAATTCGTGATTCGTAGAAAACCTTTAAAAAATATATAACTCGGGTAACTGCTGGCCAAAGATTCTAAAATGAAACCAGATTTTAGGCTCTCCCTGCACTAGTGTCTAGTCAAAGAAACAGAAATAGTAAATATCAGCGCACACACACGCCAAATTATACACTCTGGGATGCCTCGGGGTAGAACCTAGTGGCCCCACTACCACATGTGGCATGGGAGAAAGAGTGTCTGAAGAGCCTGGGATTCGCCATAGACTCCCACCGATTTTGAGAGAATCACACACAATAAGAGGCTCTGGATATTAGAGACTGAAGACATTCATGCTTCTACATTCACCTGCTAGACTGGGCAGAATCTAATCCATTCTATGCAAGGCAGCTATAGAATGAGCTTCATTTTTCTACCCCCTCCTACCCTGCCACACACACTCATGGTTTTTCTAAGCACTGAAGCCAATTAGCAGAAAATGTGAGTCAATGTGGTTATGGCATTACATGATTTATTACTCATGTCAACTGGACGAGAGTTAGTGGGAAAAGGAACAAGTCAGCAGTAGCCAGACATTTTTGCCAACATGAAATTTCAAAAATTAATTCTTTATGCATAAGACAGAGTTTCCCCTTTATGATTCTGTTCCTTTATCTGTGGCCTAGGCCCTTCTAAAACTTCTCCCTGCACCTCCCCAAGGTGATGCTGAGCAGTTTCTATTTCCTGTGCTTCCTTCACATGTTGGTTTTTCATGGTATGTCATTACTATGGATGGAAATCCCAATTGCCAGGGCAGCTGAGAGTGGCACATGTGTGACTCACCCTCAGTGACACTCTCTGCCCTATTTAGCTAAATGCCAACTTCTGGGTCCTGAAAAGGAAGTCCCATGGTGCCTCCCTATTTCTCCTTGTTTTTGTCTTCTCTCTTCTGTGAGATCTGGCTCCTCTAGACAGTGTTTCTGGAACTTACTAATTTAATTCCTTGATGTCTTCCCATCTTATTATTAATATATGTCCCTCTGAATTGACCCTCTGATCCAACATTTTCCACTCAGCATCTACTTCTCACCACAAATTCTCAGAATTGTCAATAGTCTAAAACCTTGTTACAGTTGGCCATTTCCCAGTATTCAACCAAAATGGGGGAATACAAAACCTGCAGGAACCTCTTTGGAGATAGATTAGGATGCCATCACATGGAGTGAGCCCAGAGATAGACCTTTCGTTATAATATCTGAAGAGAAAGCAAAGGCCAGGTTCATCAACAATGAGCACAATGGAGCACTTCCCATCTCCAATCACCCCACTTCAAGAAAGTTTGGGCTACAGAAAAGCAGTGTCCGTGGAATCCATGCCATGAGCTGTCTTCCAAGTAAAGCCCAGATAAGACAGGGAGGATGTCAAGAAACTCCCATCCAAACCTTATCAGTTTGCAAAAACTCTTGAAAGAGCTGACTGAGGGATGTGTACACACACCGAAAAGAAGCAAAAGCTATGCAGACATCCTGTGGAAACAACCACCACAATAAAAACGTCCAAAAGCAGATAGGACCAACCCAGGGTAGAAAACAAGCCAAAGAACAAATTTCCCACTGGTACCCCATGCTGTAGGTGACCTTAGTAAAAACACAGATACGGTTGAACAAGTTTCAGGAGATTATAAAAGCAAAATGAGGCAAAAGACAGAAAGGGGGATTGCAGACCCAAGGGAAACGAAAAATGGGGCCCAATATAGCAAGTTTAGAGAACTTTTAAATAGAAGCAGCAAAGAACAGAAGAGATAAAACATGGAGAATGGACTGGAGGAAACTGCAGTGAGCAAAAAAAAAGGTGGAAAAAAGAAATTAACACAGAAGACAAAGACCATAACTGTTAACATCACTGGTGTCTCTGAAGTGAAAAGCCCCCAAAAATTGAGTAGAAAAAAGTATTTACCAAGCATTTTCCTGAAAAAGAAGAAAGCACTGAATGTATAGGAAAAGGTGTAAATCATAAGACAAAGACTTAGCCTTATTACGTATTTACTCATTATTACATTTGTCCACTTTAGTCGTAGAGAAGGATTCTTCAGACTCCAGATAGAAAAGGCAAGTCATGAGCAAAACTGAAACTTTTGGTATTAGAAGATACTAGGCCAATGCCTACAAAGTTCTGAGGACATGTATGACTAAAGAATATTGTACCTCATCACAAAGGCAGTAAGGCATACTCTCATACATGAAATAATTCAGAAAGAAAACACCTGTAGGAAAAAAACAAACAAAAACTTCAAAGCAGTGAAACGCAATCAGGAAATAAATGGAGAAGCTACTGTAAAAACCTTTTGATTCCTTTAAGTAAGAATTAGTATGAAATACTGTAGAGTTGTCCATGCCATAAACATTAAAAAGTTGAAATAATATAAATAACACAAAGGAATTGGAAGCATACGTGAATGTTAGTTTTCTTATTCATTGTAGAGAATCTATTAACACCATCCAGAATTATATATGATTTTAACACAGCCAAAAGATGATAAATTTTTAGTGTTTTTCATCAGTTCTTAATATTAGAAAGTACTTTAGATACTGCCAAGATAAAGAAAAACTGACCTCATGACTAGAAATCATTTCAGCTTCACTTTCTGTGAATGTGCTTAGAGAAATATTTGGCAAAATGTTCATCAATGATAACTATTTCTGGGTGGAAACATTTATTAGTGATATTTGGGTTTGCTGTCATTTTCTGTTTTGTTCCCTATCTTTCCTGGTTGCTCGCAATACCTTTCTGTATTGTTTGAATTTCTGAGTATGCATTAATTTCATAAGAACAAGACAGTATTCTTTTAAAATACCTTATTTTAGACAACTATTATATTATTTAAATGGAAGGTATTTCTAATAAAGATCATTTGAAAGGAAAATTGTCGCGACCCTTCAGGGACCGAAGCAACACGCCCAAGGTCTTGATTCTTCTCTAGGCTTTATTGTCTAATCTCTCACAGTGATTACAGCAGTTGTCGGGCAGCTCTTTCTCCCTCCCGGCGGGCTCCCTTATATTCAGTCACCCAACCAATCCGGGACAGTATCATGCGTGACCTTTAAGCGGATAGGTGTCACGCGCCACTCTAAGCGGGCAGCACGAGCTGTGCACGGGTACGGAAGTCTGCTGGGCCAATCCCCAACAGGGAAGAGGGGAAAGGGTGGTGAGCAGGAAGCAGGCGTCATCTTTAGGGCATTGTCCAGCTAGAGTGGGGCTCAGCCTCGGCCGTAGGCCGGGCCCCCACAGAAAATGCATACTCAGAGAGCTGATAATAATTCCATTTTCAATTATAGATTAACACAACTCAATTATAAGATAGCTTAATGTCCATATTCATTTATATAAAGAGAATAACTTTATTGCCCCAACACAAGAAAAGACGCAAAAGATACCTTTACACATCAATTAAACTTTTAAACACAACTAAAACCCTACTTTAGGTGGTTGAAACTCATTATTTTAACTATGCTGAATCAACAGAAGACCCTTTTAAACTTAATGTATCATTGACTCAAGGCAGACTTGACTAGACAAGTCATCCTAACATGCTAAAATGACATGCCTGCTCTGCATTCTCAGAGCATGAGATAATTTGTGTACCAGAATGTCCAGCCTCTTCCTATGAGTAGAAATACAGATTATTTCTACAGCTGCACACATTTTCATATGAATGAGGAGTGATAACTTCTCACTTACTGGTTTTGAGTTAAAGCTTCATAGAATAGTTTCATAACCTGAATTTATGACTTAAATGCAATAGAGTAATGCAATGAAATTTGTACGAATATGGAGCAGTGGATGAACTTACTACATGCTATTAAGAAAAGAGTTCTTTCCCTATTTACAACTGACTTCATGATAACAAATCAAATTATAGAGTAAAAAAGTTTTAAAAAGTTAAATCATTTTAATAAGGTCTTTAATATTTAAAATATTGTAAATTTTGTATGTTGTAGATGCTTATAAAACATGTTTGCACTAAATTATTAGAGTCTTTGAGTTTGTTTTTATCTTTAGCATTTTACAATCACAATCCTTTGATATGTTCATAATTTTTTGTATTTTTTTATGCCTTAGGCCCATTCTTTCTTAAGTGTTTTATAACCCAAGACAGTTAAATAATGCCAATAAAATAAAATGATATTTCTTCTATAACTTTGTTCCATAGAGGAACATTAGTTGCTTGCCATTGATGTGACCTACCTAATCAAATTTTTAAAAGTTTTTAACTACATAAAAACATCTGGGGGGATAGAAGAAGTTGTTAATATACATTATACATTAAATCAAAATGTTTTTGAAAACAAAAGATCACTGTTTTTTTTAAAACCTTCAGATATTGATGAATGCTCCTTCCAAAATATTTGTGTCTTTGGAACATGTAATAATTTGCCTGGAATGTTTCACTGTATCTGCGATGATGGTTATGAATTGGACAGAACAGGAGGGAACTGTACAGGTATGGCCAGTTCAGGGATTCCTCATGTTCTTATTAGTTGAAACGAATAGTTATGCTAAGTATAAAAATTCCTCAAATTTCTGCTTAGTGTTCTGCTTATTAGACTGCTATGCCTTGGGTTTTATGGTTTTTAAAAAAGAAAATTACACATTCTGATTTATTTATTTTTAACTGTGGAATTGATCCATTTTCATATAAACAATTTAATATTAAATATCCAGCATGAAATTAGGAAAGTATTTCTTTATGTATGTACATGTATCTATGTAGATACAGATATATAATTTTAGTTAAGCACAGTGACATAATTATTTTCTTCACAATTCCAACATTTAATTATCAATCATAATTATTTTCTTCACAATTCCAACATTTAATTATCAATTAAGGACATTAAATGATATTATGAATACCATGTGACTGATCTACATGTCTATTGACATGTGTTTGGTATATACAAGAATTTAATCTTTATTTTATTTGTGTTGAGTCCCTCCTAAAGATCTTTACTAACTTGCAAAAATTCCACCAAATTCTTTTAAACAGAAATATGCATAGAGAAACTCAAGATGTTGATCTGGCTATTTTAAATGTCTTTCCTAGATATCGATGAATGTGCAGATCCCATAAACTGTGTAAATGGCCTATGTGTCAACACTCCAGGTCGCTATGAGTGTAACTGCCCACCTGATTTCCAGCTGAACCCCACTGGTGTAGGTTGTGTTGGTAAGTAAAAGCTATATGAAATGGACAAATAGAAATTATAGAGAGTTAAATATTCAAATTCTTAGTAATGACCTGTGATGAGTATTTGCTACTATTAATTGGAAAACAAAATAGTTCATTCCTTTCAGTAACTCCAGATTACCAAAACGTGTTCATTTGTATCATGTCTGTCTTTCAAGTTGTTATTTTGAAACAGGTATTCTCAAGACATCTGCTCTAACCTCCTCTTCTCACAGACTTGGGAATGAGGCTGTTCAAGGTTTCAGAGCTTGCAAAGGGCAGAGCTGAGATAGTGTCCTGCATTGCCTGCCTTCCCACCAGGGCATCCACCAGGGTAGTCCCAGGTGGTAAAGCCACTGGGATATACATTTCTCTCCCCTGTGAGATGGGTCATGTAGGCCTGAGATAGATGAAGACAAGAATGAGAGAACTAGATTTCATGAGTCAAACTACTAGAGGGAAACACATTGGGAGATGGGAGAGAAGTGGGGAAAGCAGTAATGAAGGTTCAGAATTTTCCATCACACATTCCTGACATCTCTGATCTTTAGAAAATAATTGTCCAGTTTTTGCCATCTGCCCTATTTCTGCCCCTTAGTGAGTATTTACCTAGAGGAATAAATGGTCTGGGGAATTTCCTGAGAAAATATGAAAAAAAAAAAAAAGTCCTTGCTGTAGTAATACTCTGCCTGCTGTCTTCAGTGTCAGCTTCCCTGTAGGCCTAAAGTATTTGGAGGGAATGTTTCCTACTGTGATTTATACACAATTTATAGGCTATTGCCAAATTTCAAACAATGTATTAGTTATGATTTATGGCTACTACTGAGTTCTGACTTTGTCTTTCAAAATTATCCATTCAGTAAATATTGAGTACCTTCTATTCTAGGGGCTGGCACTTCAATAGTGAACAGAGTAAGCAAATTTTCTGCTTTTGTTTACATTCTGGTAGCAGAGAGACAAATAAAATCAAGAATATTTTCTGACACTAGAGGTGGTTGGAGAAGTCTTATGTTGAGATGGGGAGTCAGCCCCAAAAGGAAAGAGCAAGCCAACTGGACCTCTGAGAGGAGAAGCCTCCTACAAAAAGAAACAGTCTATGCTAAGGGCCTGTGGTAGAGAATGTGGAGCCACAGCAATGAGACTGTAGTGGGAGAAGAGTAGTGGAGGGCAGCTTATGAGGAATCTTAGAAGGGGCAAACAACCCAGATCACTAAGTGGTTCTCAACCCTAGGTACACTGGAAAATCCCATTTGGAACCTTAAAAGTTCCTAATACCTTCCTCACCCTCAGAAATGGAGTCACTGGGGCCTTAGTAGTTCTTAAAAGCTTCCTTGAATCAAAGGCAACTCATGAAAGGGAGTGTTCCGAAAGTTACCAAACATAGATAGATGCCCAAAACCATTTGTAATAAGAAAAAGAAAAAAAGTCAAAACAACTATATAAATATCACTTTATACTTAATAGACTGGCAAGAATTAGGGAACTTGGATAATATGAAGTCTCCACCCTTATCCCTCCCTTCCCCCCCATCCTCCCAGTCCCTTTCCCTTTGGTAACTATTAGTCCATTCTTGGGTTCTGTGATTCTGCTACTGTTCTGTTCCTTCAGTTTTTCTTTGTTGTTATACTCCACATATGAGTGAAATCATTTGGTACTTGTCTTTCTCCACCTGGCTTATTTCACTGAGCATAATACCCTCTAGCTCCATTCATGTTGTTGCAAATGGTAGGATTTGTTTTCTTCTTATGGCTGAATAATACTCCACTGTGTATATGTACCACATCTTCTTTATCCATTCATGTACTGATGGACACTTAGGTTGCTTCCATTTCTTGGCTATTATAAATAGTGCTGCGATAAACATAGGGGTGCATCTGTCTTTTTCAAACTGGGCTGCTGCATTCTTAGGGTAAATTCCTAGAAGTGCAATTACATTTTTATTAAAATTTCTAGTACAGTTGTTTCACTGTATCTTCTGCAAATTATCTTCTAAGTCACTTATAAATATGAAAAATTTAAAAGGTCCATTGGATGCACGTGGTGGATGATGGTGACTGTTATTCCTGAGGCCAAAGCCTAGAATACGCAAACTGTGAACCAACAGTTCCTCCCCTGGCTCTAGCTGTCAAAGAAAATAACTCACAGGCCCACACAGAGATGTGGGTACAGACATTCACTGCCACAGTACTTGTGGTGGCAGGGATTCAGAAACCATACTTAGAGAGTGGATTGGTAAAAAAAGGATGGCATTTGGACACCATGGAGTTAACAGATTGGATGTTACAAAAAAAAAAGAGAATGAGATATATGACAGAATATCATTTATGCAAATTTAAAATGTGCACATAAAAATACTAATTTTATGAACACAGACAACATTACATTAAACACATTCAAATTGTTGGGTAGGTAACAAGAAATGGGAATGGAGAATAGGGGTAAAATAGAATGAGAGGGAAGGAGAGAAGAAGGAGGGATGATATGAACACAAACCCCGTAAGGAGAGAACCGTGAGCTAACCTGTGTCTCTGCACCTGAGATTCAGCAACCAAGACAAACTGGAGGGAAAAAATGAGAAAAGACAAGTAAAATAATAAAAAGCTGTCCAAGGGATTGAAACTACTTTGTAGACTGTGGTAAGGACTTTAGATTTTACTCTGACTGAGATGGGAAGCCACTGGAAGTAGCCTGATGGGAGGCAATGCTTCCAAAGGATTGCTCTGGGTATGGTGGGGAAAACAGACTCTAACTGGGTCAGGGACTGAGACCAAGAGATGAGTCAGGCAAGCATTGCAGCAGCCCAGGTGAGGGATGAGAGTGACTTGAAATTCAGGTTGTGGTGATGGAAGCAGTGGTAAGTAATCAGATTCCAGATATGTTCTGAAGGTACAATTAACAGACTTTATTACTAGACTGGATCAGGGATGATGACTGCCTGCAAGGTTTAGGGCCTGCACAACTGAAAAAAATGGAATTTGTCTGCATTGAAGATGCAGAAGGCTAGGAGAGGAGTAAGCAAGTTTTGTATGTAGAGGGAAGAGTAGAGTCTGGATAAGATGTATTAACTTGAAGGTTAAGTATCTGCAGGGAGAAATCAGGCAGTTGGCAGACAGGTCTCCCCTTCATTAGGGGAGAGAGGAAGATGGAACCATAAATTTGAGAGACCTCAGGTGAAAGGTAGTACTTTAAGTCATGGAACTGATGAGGTGGTCTAAATGGTGATTGCATATAAACAAGAAAAAGTCTGAGATTCATCAATCTCTGAAAGAGCCTCTCTAAAATTGTTGCAGACTGTCTTTCCTCAAATCCACAAAGGTGGCTATGCAAATTCAAACTAAACCATGGGAGAATGGAGATAATAGGCAGAAGAGGAAGCAAATGGGGTTACCAATATTTCTTTGATATGATACATAGCTTTAAGTTAGCTTATCCTAGATCTTATTTCCATTATTGATAAACTCATCATATAGATTAATGACAGGAAAAATTTCTTGCACTCAGAAAGTCTGGAATGTCCCAAACGAGTCATTTCTTACTACCTTGTTTAGTCCATGGTCTATATGGATTTCTCAACTTAGGTGACTGTCGTAATAGATTTAATTCCTACGACTCAATCTTGAAAAGGTTTAAAGCAAGAGACTGTTTTGGCCTAAGGAAGAAAATGAACCTACAGATTGTGAATTTCATCATTTGCGCGACCTTTCTCTAAAAAGGGATTCTTACCTGGCAAGGGCCATTTTAAGCACCTGTGTTGTTGCTCTGCAGACAACCGCGTGGGCAACTGCTACCTGAAGTTCGGTCCACGAGGAGACGGGAGTCTGTCCTGCAACACTGAGATTGGGGTGGGCGTCAGCCGGTCTTCCTGTTGCTGTTCCCTGGGGAAGGCCTGGGGAAACCCCTGTGAGACGTGCCCCCCTGTCAATAGCAGTGAGTATGGTGCTGAGGCAGAACAAGGGAACAAACTGGTAGCTGAAGACCAGTTGCCATTTTAATCTTGTGCTGGGGACAGGGAAATAGGGCCCAAAGTCTGCATTTGGATGACTTTCAGGGACTATGCTGAAACCAGCCAAGGGTGTGTTATGTAAAAGGAATTTGAATTCCTCTCTTCATGTTGTTTTTCACAATAGGATAAAAAGAAAAAACATTTGTTAAACCAAAATCCAATATGAATGGCAATAACATCATTTTTCCATGGTACCACAGATAAAGGCCATTCCTCTCAGAGGTTGTTGTAATTCAGGTTCATAGATGTGTTATACTCCTCAAATCAATCATATGATGCCTTAAGTTGAAATGTATGCTCTGACAGGGACATAGATGAAACTGTTGAATTGTTGAGTCTTTGAGGTTTTATTTACTAGCCAGAAGAGTTGTGATATAAATTATCTACAAAGTTTTTTCTTTAACTGAACACAGAGGGGTTTTTTTGTTATTCTACTGTGTATGTAATTTATGAAGTCATGATATTACTTCAAGTCAAAGTATCATTTTAAGTGTACTTGAAAGGGTGCTAAGGAAAAAGCAGATAATATACCCCTTAGGATGATATGCGTTTTGAACCTGGCAGTTGCTAAATGCTTGTTAATTGTCTCAGCCCCTTGGACACAGATATGAAATCTCTTCTTTTCCATTGTTTTGTAGCTGAATATTACACCCTGTGTCCTGGGGGTGAGGGCTTCAGACCTAACCCCATCACAATCATCTTAGAAGGTAAGCACACCTCTAATTGTCACCCAGATTTAAACAAGATAAAGAGTTTACTTTAGAGAAAAGCTGGTAGGAAAGTTAGTGTGGAACAACCCCAACTACATTATTTTGCAAAATTACAGATGGACAGTCGATCACCAGGATGCTGAATAATCACTTGGAAATCAGAAAGATGATCCTTTGCGGTGATCTGATGCCTAATTTCTCTACAGATAAACTTTTTACCGTTGTTCCTCAAATTTATAATTATCCCTAAATTGCTTTAATCACTCTTCTCAAATTTTAGCAAAGGTTCCTGGACAAAGCCCAGAAAATCCATCTAAATGTGCATCCATAGTGTGTGGAAGACTGCAGGTTTTACAGGATCCCGTGTCTGAAAGTGTTTGCTGTTGTAAGCAAGCTGTCTCCCCTTTTGCAGATATTGATGAATGCCAGGAGTTACCAGGTCTCTGCCAGGGTGGAAACTGCATCAACACCTTCGGAAGCTTCCAGTGTGAGTGTCCGCAAGGCTACTACCTCAGCGAGGAGACCCGCATCTGTGAAGGTGAGGTGAATTTACACCTAAAAATGACCAGTGCTGTTTAAAATAAAATTACTGGTCAGGTCTGGAGAAAAGAGTCCATCCTCAAATCCTGTCAGAGGATCTCTTGGGACCAGTTCATAGCTTTTTTCTTTTCATATCAATGCCACTAACTTGTATGATGATAGAGAAATTAATGTCCAACTTACTTGCTTTAATTTATTATTATTTTCCCCCGAGTAAATGGGTGGTTTGGATATGGGGAAAGCCGAAGAAGTGAGAAAATGTTCAATATCAATTAAGTTATTAATTCACATATTGAGAAGTTATATTTTACATAGGAAAAATAGGTAAGCTTGAATGCAACTATTAAGTTAATATTTTTTCAGTACTTTTCAAATGTTAAACGGCACAGGGTGAAGAAATTCAAAGGTCATACAGACACCTCCCTGGCTTCCATCCCCCTGCTCCTCACATGGCACTATAGTAAGCCTTTTCGGGGCCTATCTCCCCACTAGACAGGGACCTTCTTGAGGCAAAGTCCACATCTTACTCATCTTCATAGCTACAAGTTCTAGCTTATAATAGAATCTCAGTATTTAATTATGGAATAACTGAATGACTGCTTCTGAAAGCAAACATCAAACAGGTAACATAACTCCATTTTAACCTCTCATGGAACATGTCTGAAAGAAATATGATTCATTTAATAAAGAGAATAGCAAACAGCCACACTGTGTCTAGAATCTCTAAATGGGCACCAGTTTGAAAGGGGCCATAAAGAGAAAGTCTTTCCTAACTGCATTCAGTTTAAGGTGGCACCAAAATTTAGTTAAAATGACCTAAGAGGAAAGGAGACTTTAAAACAGTTCCAATTAAGAATATGAAAGTTTTATCTTTTGCCACTTTGGAATAATTTCTTTTGATCATTTACATATTTGAATATTGGAAATTTTTCTTTCAAAGAAAGACATACTTTACATCATGTAAATTCACATTTGAAGGTATTTCCTATATAACTGCCTTAAATTCTACATTTTTGTAAAGTATAGGGATTTAGGGAATCAGCTGTAGGCTTGTTCGGTAATTTAAATATCAAAAATGCATGGAAAAATACCTCAATTAATTAATGGCTATTCTTGCCTACTCTAGATATTGATGAGTGTTTCGCACATCCTGGCGTCTGTGGGCCTGGGACCTGCTACAACACTCTGGGAAATTACACCTGCATTTGCCCACCTGAATACATGCAGGTCAACGGAGGCCACAACTGCATGGGTAGGTAAAAGTCTCTGACTAATTAGGTCCCAGTTGCTGGCTTCCCAGCTAACACTTAGGTCTCAGGCACTAATGTCTCAGAATTTTGATCAGAAAACTTGGAATTAAATCTTTGTGAATGATGACATATTTCCAAGTCTTATATACTTCTGGCTCTGTGTCATATTTTAAACTTTGGCTGTATAAGTATTTTAAAAAGCATCAGTATGAGATAAGAAATTCCATCACATTTTAAATGATACATTCCTAAATAATTTTTATTTTCTATTCATATAAAATGAACATTATTTGACAAATATGGAAAAATTTAAAATCTAACATGTAATACTTTTTAGATTGAAGAAATGCTTTTGAATAGAGAAACGAATGTCTATTAACTGTGTTGCCCAAGAAAATTATAAATGAAATCCCTTATTTAAAAACAGGAGACACATTAATCTAAAAATGATTTTGGTTCAACTTAAAGAATTATTTTAAGATACCTCCCAATTATCAAGAGATTTTTCAGAGCTGTGCTGATGGAGAAACTCTGGTGTCTCCAGGTGTGTGGGTTCATTATTAGCTGCTTGCTGACTGGTCAGTGGGCTTGTTTTTCTGTATGTAGACATGAGAAAAAGCTTTTGCTACCGAAGCTATAATGGAACCACCTGTGAGAATGAGCTGCCTTTTAATGTGACCAAGAGGATGTGCTGCTGCACGTATAACGTGGGCAAAGCCTGGAACAAACCCTGCGAACCATGCCCGACTCCAGGAACAGGTAAGCACACAGCTCCTGCTCCTGCTGCAGGCCAAGCAGCAGTGCATGCACACATGTGACTCTGTAATGAAAGCAAACACATACTAAAACCAAACATGCTCAGGTCTGGAAATGTCCAAGAGCATCATATGGCTGTTTCCCCAGTGGGCCTCCTTGGGATAGGAACACCAGTCTCTGTGATAGCTGTGGAGTAGGAGTGTGCATTCTGAAAAGAAGCCCCATTGCCAAACTGATACAGTGTATAGCACCAGTCCAGGTAAACCCATTGTCTTAAATCATGCTGGTTAATTGTTCATTTATTCATAGAGTAAATACTTATTGAGCAACTGTGTGTCATTGTGCTAGACTCAGAAGGTATAATATTCTGTTTTAAAAACTTGTACTTTCAGTCCAAGTGCAGTAAGTATCTCTTTTCAGTTCAATCTTGCAGAATATGCAAAAAATTGATTTGATGAGCAAACATTACATAAAAGCAACTTATTGTCAAAGTGGTCCTTATATATCCTTTCCCTCAAATATATCTGAATTTTTTAGGCAGAAGCAGAGCTGGTCTTTACAAGGCAAATTTTTTCTCACAAGCACAGACTCTTTTGAAAGAAACACTGAAAGATAAAAGAAACAAGAACAAAAAATAAAAAAATAGTCTTAAAATTGTTGCCCACCAAGGTTCTTTTATGACCTAGAAACTGATCCCTTTAATAGTTGTAGATACTAACTGTTGAACCACTAGGACAAATGGGAAGGAACAGTTGTGGATTTTGTTATCAAATATTACTTAGAATGTATGTATTAAAATGCTTCATGTAATGTGATGATGAAATAAAATGGAGAGTGATGAAAAGTGACATGTGGGCCATTTCTCAGTGACTCAAATTCATTGGGCAAGTGGATTTCTTTGCCCTAACTTGCCATAGTTTTGTTCAGAAAAAACAAGTAAAAACATCTTCACAATTCTCTAATTTAAATATTCCATCAGTTAGAAATTGAACCTCATGACTTGAGAAATTAAACATCACTTTCCTGTGTGAGAGGAAGTAAAGGGCTTAGTTTTGAGAGACAGATGTGTGTTTAAATTGAAGCTCTGCTGAAGACAAGTAGTGACTCTATAGTATCTTACTATGCTGATGGACAGTGACTGCAATGGGGTGTGGGGGGGACTTGATAATATGGGTGAAAGTAGTAACCACAATGTTGCTCATGTGAAACCTTCATAAGATTATATATCAATGATACCTTAATAGTAAATACATTGAAGCTCTGCCACCTATTGTCTAACCTTAGGTTAAAAAGTTTTTCCTTTCTGAAACTGATTCCTCATATATAAAATAGGCGTAATAAATAATGACAGTGACTAATTCATACAGTGATACTGACAAATGAGATGATAGACAGTTGACTCTTGAACGACATGGGGGATAGGGTGATTGCCAATCCCCACGCACAATTGAAAATCTATGTATAACCTTTGACTGCTCCAAAACTCAACTACCTGATAGCTTACTCTTGACTGGAAGCCCTGCTGATAACATACACAGTCGATTAATGTATGCTTTGTATGTTATATGGATCACATACTGTATTCTCATAATAAAGTAAGCTAGGGAAAATGATCTTTCAGATTACTGCAAATCTCCAAAAATATTCCATTAAATTTATTGAAAAAACTCCACACATAAGGGACCCACACAGTTCCAACTCATGTTGTTCAAGGAGCAACTATATATGTTACAATTCGCACCTTTCCAAGCAATTACATGCTCTGGATGCTGGGTGAATTTTGGTGGATTCACGGACAGTGTCCCTCCCCTGACAGTATATGGAGTGTAGTATTCAGTATCTGTTTTAACCTAACACTATTTCCCAGTTTTACTTACTTGTATAGCAGTGGGCATTAGAAACGATCCAGCTGTCAAAAATAAGGATTCTTTGAAATTTCTGTTAGTTTGGTGAATTATGTGTGGGAGTAATTCTTACAGTCTCTATTTTATTCCATGATGCATTGTTTTCGATGCCTCAAATTTCACAGTCCAACAAAGAGGCCTGCTTGTTTAAAAACTGAGGTATTACTGTCTCCTTCATTATTCATTGTTAACCTGTTTCACCACCATGAATTCGTTTTGCACACCTATGCCCTGGTATGATTCACAATCCCTTTTTAAGTTGGTACTCTAATTTGGTTTTTTAATCTGCCAAAATTGGATCATTTTTAAAGGTCTGCATATCAAAAGTAAAAAAGAATTTAAATGCCTAATATATATATTTTTAATTTTGCAATGATTTAATTTATCTTCTAATATCAGCAATAAAAAGTTGATGATAATAATAATAGTAATGATAAAGAAGACCTACATCTGTTCCTTACAGAAGTTGACACTTATCAAATAAATATAATTGGAATGAAAATGTCTAGTTGTGAATAATATAAAACATATTTGTCAGTGATACTATGTAAAATGTTATTTTGAAGGAGTTTGAGAATTTTAAGATACATTTGCATTGTTTGTATTTTAAAGCTGACTTTAAAACCATATGTGGAAATATTCCTGGATTCACCTTTGACATTCACACAGGAAAAGCTGTTGGTAAGTTTTTCCAGGTTGTTGATTTAAATACATGTATGTACCTTTTTGTAAAATCTGTTCACTGTTTTTAAAGTTTAAACTACCATAAAATACATAATCAAGATTCTGATCTAATATAATATAGTTAGACAAGAAAGACATAACATGTTTACAGACTCTAACCAAGTGTTAATAATGGTATTAATCCATCAGCATGGTCTGGTGATTAAGTTAGGAGAGTTATGTGACTATCTCAAGATTTTATACATAACAAGCTAATCCTGTAGTTTTCCTGTCATGAATATTATATTATATGACTCTAAACAATCTATCTTATTTTAACATTTAGTTGTTATTTTCATAAGTACATGTTTATGTTTTTGGTGTATTTCTGCAGTGTCCCTTTCTGCTAATCTACTTAGGTATTTGCAGAATTATTAATTATACAAATTATTTCCTTCTGAATATACTTTCTCTTGCTCATTCTACTTTTCTTCCTCAAAGGTTAAGTCTACATTATCAATGTATATATAAGAAAGTACATAAAATTAAGAAAACCTAGCTTTTTTTTATCACGAGTACCAGCAGATAGTGGAACCTAATACATAATTTGAAGAAGCAGCTTAATTCCGTAGGAAGTTCATTTGGTATATTGACACTAAAATCACTTGGCATATTTGATCCGCTACTTAAATTTTTCCTTCACTGTTTAAAGGAAACAATCCATTTTATGGCCTCTGTGCTTTCATAAACCACAAAAATCATTCATACCAGCATAGAATTGATTTTTGTGATGCTGAATATGTGTTCTCATTGCCAGTATACACATAGCATTATTCAAGGTTTTATAGTAAATCCATTAAGTGGAACCACATATATTTGACCATATCTGTTCAATTTCAGACATTGATGAATGTAAAGAGATTCCAGGCATTTGTGCAAATGGTGTGTGCATTAACCAGATTGGCAGTTTCCGCTGTGAGTGCCCTACAGGATTCAGTTACAATGACCTGCTCCTGGTCTGTGAAGGTAATCTGCATGATGTATGAACTTTATCCAAAAAAAAGTTTGGTAAGCCACAAATGGTTTTAGACACTGTTGTGATTTTTATTCTTTCTGCTGAGCATTGGGGAATTGATCACCCAGTCAGTTAGGTGCATGTAATACTAAATGCACTGATGAAACTTTTCTGAATGGAACTGTTGTCCTTTCAGATATTGACGAGTGCAGCAATGGCGATAATCTCTGCCAGCGGAATGCGGACTGCATCAACAGCCCTGGCAGTTACCGCTGCGAGTGTGCTGCGGGCTTCAAGCTTTCACCCAATGGAGCCTGTGTCGGTAAGAAAGAGACTGACTCATTTCGGCATTGAGCAAAATGTCCTTTAGATTTCCCACATGAAAACATTATGTATGCTTGACTACCAAAAAAATTTTTCAAAGATAGTTTGGAAAAGATTTTCTAAGTAAGTCTATTCATTCATATTGTGCCTATATCACCATGTAGTTTAGATTATTTTGTTAGGGAAAGAAGCGTCTTCAATGGATTTTCCTTAGACTGGACCACAAAATAAAATAGTAGCCTCGAGAGATCGATCAACTTTACAAAATTGCATAATTTTTCTAAGAAAAGAGGCTTGGATGCTTTAAACTCTTGCTTATTTTGATTCAGCTGTAGTTATGGTTCATTTTCAGCCTGCCTGCAATAATTAATAGCAGGTTATGGAAACACGCCTCTGAAAAAAACGGAGGAATCTTAATAAAAATCAGATATGTCTAACATGTGTTCTATTTTTTGTTTTAGATCGCAATGAATGTTTAGAAATTCCTAATGTTTGCAGTCACGGCCTGTGTGTTGATTTGCAAGGAAGTTACCAGTGCATCTGCCACAATGGCTTTAAGGCTTCTCAGGACCAGACCATGTGCATGGGTGAGGAGGGGGCTGACACACAGGGGCCAGGGAGCACTGAGTCTCCAGAAGAGATTAAGTTCGGCCACTTTCCACAAGTAACTGCCTTGTCTCTGTCACAAACAGTCTTACAAAAAGTTAGCTCTGTTAAATTGCTTACGGTTTTATTGTGTGAAATTTGCAAGCAGGAACACACACCACATATGTTCATTGGTTCAGTATTCACAATCTTTTTCCCCAGATGACTTTGTCTTGCTCAGCCTGCGCTCTGGGACACTCACGGTTCTATGGAAGTCACCACAGTACAAGCTGCCCTTTGCCCTTCTCTGTTCCCACTCAAGAAACCCTTTCTGAGTGCCATAATACAAAGGCGTAGGAAGAGAGACCGCAAATGTAGAGACACACCTACATATATAAAAATACATTTTTCCCATGAATACTTGGGACTTAGCTGCTGCTTCTGTGTTTTAACTTTTTTTTTTATTTTAGTATCGTTAATATACAATTACATGAGCAACACTGTTACTACATTCCCCCCATTATCAAGTCCCCACCACATACCCCATTACAGTCCCTGTCCATCAGCATAGTAAGATACTATAGAGTCCCTACTTGTCTTCTCTGTGCTATACTGCCTTCCCTGTGCCCCCCTCTACATTATATGTGCTATTCATAATGCTCCTTTTTCCCTCTTACCCCTCCCTTCCCACCCATTCACCCCAGTCCCTTTCCCTTTGGTAACTGTTAGTCCATTCTTGGGTTCTATGAGTCTGCTGCTGTCATGAAACCATAAAACTCTTAGAAGAAAACATAGGCAAAACTCTCTTGAATATAAACATGAACAACTTCTCCATGTGTTTTAACTCTTAAACATTTTTGGAAGCAAATGTAGCAAAACTCGAAGTCCCAGTAGCTAATGTACTGGTTAGTTACAGAATAATCGTGCTCAGGAAGTACTTGCTCACAGTGGCAATTAATATGATTTCAAAGGCAGATGGGCTGGACGCCTTGGAACTCTACGTAGCTCCTTAAATCTGCTGTCAGCTCCTGGTTGTATCTCTACTGAAAGAGTTCTCCATGCTTTGCACTTGAAGAAGGAAAATTAAATTTAAAACTTGGCTGTTTATAATTAGCATGTTCTCTGTTTAGAAAAAGCTAGAATTGTGCATCTACTCTTTTGGTACTTAAGATACAATCTAAGAGTAATAAAGCCAGATTTCAGCATGGTAGAACATTTCCTTTATGGAGCATCTGCACCCGGAGGACCACTTGCAGAAGGCTGGCTTCCCACTTCACCTCCTAAGAGCTCCTCTCTGGATTCTCCCTTGTGGTGGGAAGAATTCCCTAGGGCATGCTTGTGCAAAGGATACATAGAGGGTCTGGCCCTGTCTGCGTGAATTTTCCTAGCGTGCTTGCATACACGTGCTGCAACAGGCTGTACCGAGAGAGAGAATATGATTTGCTAAAAAGAAATGTGAGATTTATGATTCAGAAGTTCACATGGAGAAAATCCACCCTCAGGCTAACAATGAGTCCACGATAAAAGTGAGCCAGACTCCTTGGTGTGCCCCCCATAAGAGAAGCTTCCTCCCTAAGGAGCAATACCTTTTGGTGCATGGGCGAGGGGTTTTGGCAGCCTGTAAGTTCCAGTCTAGCAGATGCTCTCATTTGAGGATGACCCTTCTAAATAGTTTCTTAAATCTGTTTTTTTTTGAAAGCCAGTAATACTGAGCTCTAATAGAATCCTTCGGTTTGGATTCCATTCCTAAAATTTAAGAAACTAAAGTTTATCTTTATTGTGCCGATCACATTAACATATGTAAATTTCTGGGGTAGTGTTTATCATGTTTAAGGGAACAAACTGTTTTAGTGTGTCAAAAGATGGGTTTCCTTTTAAGTAAACCTATTCATTGAAATAGCTCCAATAAGAGTTATGCTTTCCTAGGCTAGTCCTGAGTACTGTATTTACCTGTAGGTCATTAAACAGCACTTTAACTTATAATTTTATTATTTAGAATGTTCTCTACCTCATACTTATTTTCCTTAAAATAAATATGGGTTCCCAGTTTTGAATGAGGAAAATCTAAGGAAGTAAATAGTGTCTAAAAAAATGTGTTTACTAGGCTATGTTTTTCTAGTTGAAAACTTTGAACCATTGCCTTTTTATAGATGTTGATGAGTGTGAGCGGCATCCGTGTGGAAACGGGACCTGTAAAAACACTGTTGGATCCTATAACTGTCTCTGCTACCCAGGGTTTGAGCTCACTCACAATAATGACTGCCTCGGTAAGTTCCAAGTACTCAGTCATTCCTCTATTGCTATTTCATTTCCTCGCAATGTACTGACATAAAGTATAAAACCAAAGAATAAGTATTTTTAGTATTAAAATTGCAAATGTATGCCAAAGATACATAATTTTAACTAATTTCTAGTTAACTAAAGACATAATATTGGCTTAAATAATCAGAAGGTAATCTGCTACATAGAGTACGTCTGTCAGTCAACAGCTGATTCTGGAAGAAAGCCAGGCAGATGGTAGTAAGTGTACTGGGACTGCTTTAGGGCTTTGGGCTATTTTTATCAGTCGTTGGGATCGAAGATAGACCTGTCATTGTTTCAGCATTACTATTAGTATTTCCCATAATTCACTCTTGATTTATATTCAAATACTAACAGCCTCCAGCTTAAGAACATGTTGTGTCTTGAAACTTCATTTTCTGTCAGTTTTTCAAGCCAGGGATGCTTTTTCCCACAGAAACAGTGTATGGTGACTAAGTCAGGCCTCAGAAACCTATTTGATCTCTATGAACCACTCTAGATTTTCAGTGGAAAATGAAAGCATGCCCTATGGATGGTATAGGATTTTAGCCTTTGCCCCTAACAGACAGTGGCTGAAATAAGAATTGATTGTGAGTGGAGGGGGGTCCCTATTGTTGGTAGCAGAGATAATAAGAGAGATGACGACAAAAGTTTCTTGCTTACCAGTACCAGGCCTTACAAAATAACATTTCTTAGTTCACATGATCCCATAAGGTCTGTGAAGGTAGCTTAGGCTTTCTACCATTACGGGACCATCACAGACCAAACCCACTTCTTAAATGAACCCAACATATGTTCCTCTAAGTTTCCTTTATTTTTCAAAATTCTGTGAAAATTTTGTGCAACTGTGAAAATATTAGAGCTAATTGGACATTTTATTCAGCTTTCACCTTCTTGTTCATAGTTTCTCAGACCCTTTGTACAGCCAGGGAGATCTACTAAAGATACAGACATGGCTCTGATCAAAGTACAATATTCAAACAATGCAGAAAACTCCCCAGTGCCATCAACCTGAAGCTCAACTGAAAACCTAATGCTTTAAGGATTTTTTTCAAGTTCCGTGTTCTGTCAGCAAAACTTGTCATCAATTCTAAAGTGTTTTTAATATCACTGATTTTTCTGTATTTATTTGTCCTTTGAATGCAGTTAGCTTATCTCCAAATAAAGTCATCTACAAACTAGGCAGTCAAGTCAAACCTATATATTCTCTTGCCTCTGGCAAAACAAGTATTTCTCAACTGGAAAAGATGGAAAGCTTCACCTTAAACCTTCAACATTTGTCTGGTTATAAATATATGAGTTAAATGAATATCAAAAATGTCCCCTTTGGTTGAAAATATAACCTCATTAGTCACCTGATTCCGATAGCATGAGTCATTCTTCTGCATGTTAATGAGGAACTGTAGGGCTCCTGTAAATGTATGCCAGTAACTGTATTTTTAAGTTGCAGCTTGTGACATAATATACATACAAGTGCTCCCTCTGAAAAGCTGACCCCTGTTTGTTTACAGACATAGATGAATGCAGTTCCTTTTTCGGCCAGGTGTGCAGAAATGGACGGTGTTTTAATGAAATAGGCTCCTTCAAGTGTTTATGTAATGAAGGTTATGAACTTACTCCAGATGGCAAGAACTGTATAGGTAAGTATCCAAACAATAAGTGGTCTTTATGTTTTGTTTTTTGAAATAATGGTGTGCCCCCCGCCTCCAATCTGGGAACTCATTCACCTTTCATTAGATCCTCTCAACCACATGACCAAGATAAGAAATCACAGGAGATTTTGGTTTAAGGAATAAGTCAGCAATTGGGAATGACTTGCATGCAGTGTTTTTATTGGCATAGAGCTTAAGGCCAACCAAGTCTCAAAAATAATAGACAAAGGAAACAAATCTAGACAATTAGCCTCTTGCCAGATGAGTAATAACTGAGATGTCAAAGAGTATCTCAGGGCGTATTTGTCCATAGTGACCTGGCAGATCAGATTCAACTTGGCAGGCCCATGCTGAATTCATGTTAACATCATTTGGCAAAAAGTATGTCATATTTAAATCATTCCTTGTCTTGTTTCTCTCTTAAGATACTAATGAGTGTGTTGCCCTTCCTGGCTCCTGTTCTCCTGGTACCTGTCAGAATTTAGAGGGATCCTTCAGATGCATCTGTCCCCCAGGGTATGAAGTAAAAAGCGAGAACTGCATTGGTAAGGCTCACATTTACTCCTGAGGTCCACGAGCTGTTCAGTCTAATAAGACTTGGTACAGACTCTGTGGAAATAATACCGAATCCAAACCACTGCGAGCATGCTGACTCAAGGAATTAAACATAAAGCTGCCTACATCTGCTTTATTGAACAATCAGAAATGATTTGAAGGTGGAGTGGTGGGAATAAAGAACTCAGGGATGTGGGATTTTTCATTAACAGAAATCTTATACTAGTCAAAGAATTTTCAGCGCATGCTAATGTTTTTTCCAAATGTCAACGGAGACTTTCTACTGAATTTAAAGAGTGTCTACAGAAATTGTAATCTTTGGCAACCAATTTTAAAACAGCTATTAAAGGTGTCTAGAGTCCTAGAAATGTGAAGCACAAAATCCTGACAATGCTGTTTGTTAAGACTTTTTTCCTCGGGAAGGCCTCATGTCAAAACAGAAAATATGAATCCATCTGTTGTAACAGATGTTTTTCTGTTGAAATTCTTCCAGCACACAAGAACACTGTAACCACATCAAAAGTGGGTCCCAGAATTGCCTGGTGGACATGATGAAGGCTGACCTTTTTACAGTTACTTTATTTCACTTTTATATAAATTATTTTTTACAGTCTTGTTGAAATTCAGAAGCACCAGCATCTTAGTGGGGATCCTCTAATGTGAAATGATTGCTAATGGATTTTTTGCTTTTGGGGTACCCAATCTCTTAAAAAATATACTGTAGCTCTACTCTTCACATGCAAGGGACTTATATAGACAGAACTGAAGGAAAGAGTTTACTTCACCAAATTTATTATTTTGAAGACCATATAATTACATATAATGGATCTGTCTAGTCATTCCAATTTGGTCTATCTTTTCCCTTTTTTGTCTGATCTGTATAGTTTGTTGTAAGATTGTCTGTGTGTTTAATAGTTAAATAATAATACTAGAAGCATCTTAGTAAGAAGTTTCTCTAAAAGTTTAAGATACTTTCTTCTGTTTGCTTTATCCATATTTCATCTCAGTACTTCATTATCCCTGTGATCCATCCCTTTATAGAACAATGAAGTGTAGCAGCATGTCAGCCATTAGGAGGGAAGTGGTGATATAGATGCTTCCCTGTATCATAAAGACTCTTTTCTCTTACTGGAAAAAAAAAAATATGTGATTAACTTACACTTCGGTTCCCTTATCCAATGTTATCAATGCTATTTTGCATCTCTGAAAAAAAATAGTTTTTAATTAATTTCCTTCATTTTATGAATATTTGCTTCAGCCTATATGTCTTCTACCAATTTTTCCCAAATGAGACGCTTGCTAACTAATCAATCACACACTCACACAAATACATGCTATATACATGTGTATACAAATGCACACATACAAGAGGCACACAAATCCACTCCAGCATTCAGTGGACATTATAATAAATGCTTGGTAGCTTTTAGGTGCCAGGAATACAAAAATACAGACCTTGCCTCCAGGCAACTTAGTGCCCAAAAGAGAAGGCATGTTTTATAAGTAAAACTGTTTGGTAACAATTCCTTACAATCCGATGAGACAGACGCTGTGCCAGAAGTGTGTTCAGGATGTAGGAACACCATAGGAGGAGCCCGTCACAAAGGACTGGTGACATTCGAGGTGGCTCTTAGATGTTGGATAGGAATTTGCTAATCAAAGGAGAGAAGGGAACAGAGGAGAAGCTCAGGCATAGTCCTGCAGGTGGCGTGGGGCACTGCAGGTTCTTAGAAAGGGTGTGACATGACTCACTGAAACGCTGCAAATACAAACTGAGAATGTAGCACGTGCCAGACACTATTCTAGAGTAAGCTGATGGTGTGTCAGTGACCCAGACAGACAGACACACACGTCATGTCCTCATGAAGCTTACATTCCAATGTGTCTGGAACTGTGTGCTGTTTATTCAGTTAGTTACAGTAACCCACTTAAATAAGCGCTTTCCCATGAAAAAAGGCCAAACACCACTGGTAAGGAATCCTTACTCTTTCTCAGGAAACATTCTGGGGCAAAGTGGGAATGATAAAATTCTCAGAATATGTGAGTCCTCCTGGTTCCATGGGCACATATTTTCAAATGGATGCATGTTTTAGAAAGAGCTTGGTGGCAGTGTGAAGGGAAGAGATGGCAGTGTACCAATCAGGAGGTCTACCGTAATCCCTGCGGCAAATGACATTGAGTTTGAATATACAGAGGAGGTAGAAGTGAATGGGCCACAGGCTGCCTGCATATGGAGTGTGAAAGGTCAGGGAGTGGAGCAAAGGTGACCCCAGGATCCCAACTTGAATTGCTGAGAGGGGCATCCAAGAATGGGCCAGCTGTGGCTGTGAAGCCTGTAAGACACTGAACTGGTCATGTCAGGTAGGCATCATTCATACCCCTGCAAGATCAAGTACAAGGAGCTGGCAATCAGTTTGGGCATCTGAGGCATATGGCTGCTTGAGTCCAGATACAGTCACTGACTTATGAAGCAGTAGCAGTTTATTTTTAAAGAACAAATTAACTGCACACAGTATAATCTCATTTTGTATTAAATAGCCAAGGGCTAGTGGCATGTTGTAGTGTGGACAAACTAGTTAGCGTCAGATACTAAACAGTGTATTGATTTTACTAAATTAATACCTTCTCCTGCTGTTCTCTCAGATATCAATGAATGTGACGAAGACCCCAACATCTGTCTTTTTGGTTCCTGCACCAATACTCCTGGGGGCTTCCAGTGCATCTGCCCCCCGGGCTTTGTGTTGTCTGACAATGGCCGGAGATGCTTTGGTAAGCTTTGCGAGGACTCCCGTGTAGTAATTTGCCTTTGGAAACTTCAGAGCTAGAACAGTACACCATCGTGTTAGTGTTTGTTACTCCAAAATATGTATCCATGGCATCTGTATCTTTGTAAGTTAAAAATACAGGTCTCAAAAGTGTATGTGCTAGACAACTTTTAAGGTATTTTGAGTTATTGGCTTTGTTTCTACATGTTTTTTAATTTCATACTAAAAAAACTTGTTTCACCAGTTTCATTGTATTGTTAGCATAGATTTTTGTTTTTTTTATACGTTGGGATTGTGAGTTGCTTTTCATGGGATTTAATTTACAGAAAGTGACCTAGATTATTTTTGTTAGGCAATAATGTAATAGTGGGAAGAGGGATATGGAAATCATTTTGATGATGTCTACATTTCCTAAGTACATTATAAAAATATTTTAAACGTTTTAAATGATTAAAATTTCATAGACAGGACAATTTAAATTGGCAAGTCAAGTAAGTCAGCAGCGAAGGACTTCCAGACCTGCCTTAACTGCTGATCTTAATCTGCATCATATGTGCGGCCCATCAGAAACGCTGTCAGAGACAGTCACATGCAAATTATTCCTTCTTTGCAAATGACCGGTGAGGGGGTCTGTGGTGTGTGCTTTCTTGATTTAGATACTCGCCAGAGCTTCTGCTTCACAAACTTTGAGAATGGAAAGTGTTCTGTACCCAAAGCTTTTAACACCACAAAGGCAAAATGCTGTTGCAGTAAAATGCCAGGAGAGGGCTGGGGGGACCCCTGTGAGCTGTGCCCCAAAGACGATGAAGGTAAGAGCAGAGATATAAAACACTGTTTTGTGCTAATGTTGAAATGTTTGTCAGAATTTGGTTTGCATAATGGATGACTATTTTGAGGGTGAAGTTAACCCCTCACGTATACACTGTGATGGTTCAGTGAGCAACCTGATCTGAGGCACGTCCTCGACTTCTGTATTCGTCATGTGTAAGTGCAGGTAGAGGTGCACCTTATTTCATTTGTCCCCCAAAATTGGAATTACTTGCTTTCAGAGGAATGAATTGGAGAGGTGCAGGGCAGGGGTGCTAGTTACATTGCACATTACTGCAGGAGCTCCACGTGGGTGCTGCGTCACAGCTGTGCCTCTCAGGATCCTGTGATGTTCTGAGAAGCCGAGTCAGCACAGTGGCCATTTGCAGGGACAGACCAAGAGCCTCGCGGGTCTTGTTAGTGTGGCTGAAATGTCGGGCGGCTCCCAGCATACTCTAAACTGGCTTGGTGTCCCGTCTGGGTAGGGGGGCCTCCAGCTCCTTGGCATTGAATGAGAAAAGAGTCAGAAGCCCTCAGCAGGTGGCATCCTGGAAGGAGCTGGGCAAGCTCAGGCAGCCTTCTCTAAATATGCTCAGTGTTGCTTTTGAAACAAATCATAAAGGGAAAATAAATGATTCTTAGTAAAAAACACCTTTGCAGAGGATAATTAGTCTAATTTCCTGTATATTGTTAATGAGTTCTTAAGTTCTCTGATCATTAAACCTCTTCGATAATGGGAAATCTGTATTTTTCTCTGTAGTTGCATTCCAGGATTTGTGTCCTTATGGCCATGGAACTGTTCCTAGTCTTCATGATACCCGTGAAGGTGTGGTTTGTTGTATTTTATTCCTATAGTCTTCTTCTAATATATATTATTGTACATTTATTTTGTAAATCATGCTAATTTTATTATATAACAGTGTATTATAGTTAATGTGCATATACATTTATTGTATATAATATGCATTATATTTATCATAAGACTTGTGGTATGTGAAATACATTATTTCTCTGGTAAAAGAAACATTGACATGTCTAAGAAATTTTAAGTCTCTGTTGCATAGATACAGATGGTATCAGCATACCTTTTTATATAAGGAAATTTACAGGCAATTCTGTACTTTAGATGTCAATGAGTGTCTAGAGAGTCCAGGCATTTGTGCCGATGGTCAGTGCATCAACACAGACGGGTCTTTTCGCTGTGAGTGTCCCATGGGCTACAACCTGGATTACACTGGAGTACGCTGCGTGGGTGAGTATGGACTCCGCATGACATGCTTTTAAAGTGCTATTCCTCTTGTATTCAGCAGAAGGCCTCTAGGCATCCTGGGTGGTGGTAGGATTTACAAAGCCAGGAGAAGGAGCTAGTAACCACTCTTCTCTTCTCTCATCATCCATTTTCCGTTAGACCTGGTTTATGTGAACATGGGAAGAGCTGTCCAAACTCCGCCTTCAACCAGTTACACAAACTGATGTGTCTGGAGATTCACAGTTGCCAAAACCACTCACCGAGGAAAGAGATCCGTTTTACTTTATGGCTTCCCACACCTGCTCTTGTAGCAGAAGACCACCTCCCTCACTGGGCTTGTAATTTTTCAGGCAAGCGCGGCTATGTGGGGGCTCGGAACATTGCACTCTTGATCCTTCAGGGTCCTTTGCACTGCACAGCGTCAGCCAAGCCCAAGGTGGATGCAAGAGTCATGTGTGCCCTGCGCAGATCCTGGAAGTGTGTGTGGGCCAGCTGGATATTCACGAGCATGCTGCTATTAAACTCAAACTTCTCCAGATTTTGTGCACTTTCTTATTCTTTTTCAGATACTGATGAATGTTCAATCGGCAATCCATGTGGAAATGGTACCTGCACCAACGTCATTGGGAGTTTTGAATGCCATTGCAATGACGGCTTTGAGCCAGGGCCCATGATGACTTGTGAAGGCAAGTGATACCTTTCTTGGGCATTATCTCTCCTTGATGGAGAAGGGGTTTCTTTGACGATGTTTCAGCTTTTATTTATGTTGTTCTGATGTTCTGTTGATGAGTATATTCATCACAGATATATTTTCCTTTACTCCAATGAGCATAGTTTCAGTAGCCACCTTACAGCCTTTATCTGGTAATTCTGGGTCATCCCAGATTAGACATCGACTGACTGACTGCCTTTTCCCTTGAAGTTGGATCACGTCTTCCTGGCTCTCTAGGATGCCAGTTAACTGTGGATTATACCTGAATATTGTGAATGAGATCTTCTGGAATCAGTTATATTACACCAAAGAAAGTTGATGCCTTTGTACGATCATAAAAACAGCCTGTCAGGCCTGTAGAAGTCAGTGGTTGAGATTTGTTCTGTCTTTAAGTCTCAGTGGCTAGCTTCTTTGATTTTATCCCACACATGCACAGTTAAGTCAGCACCTCAGGCGAAGTTTACAGCCCTCTCCTTTCTGGGGTTCCCCCTCACTCTTCTGCAGCCTTGGGTGCCCCAAGGCTGACTGTCCCCTGATTCCTCTGGACAAAAACTCAGGGAGTTCCTAGTGGAGATTTAGCTGCCAGGTGCCATCGCTGAACCATTGCCATCTGCAGGGTAATTTCAGGGGGAGAAAGGTGGAGGAGCTTATTCCTGGTTGTGCACTGGGCTTCAACTCACCACTGAAAACTACTTCAGGTAGTTGTTTTTGTGTGTGTTTTTTTTCAAGGTTTATCATTATTACTACCAGAGAATGAGCTTGTTGTATACCCATACCAGAGTGCACTTTCTGTTATCCTGTGACATTCTGTATGGCTGTCAAGTAAAAACATCAGTGTTTATTTAAACAAATAATTAGAACTCTAGGCTGAGCACATGCTTGCCTGTTTCTTCAATCAGATATCAATGAGTGTACCCAGAACCCGCTGCTGTGTGCTTTCCGCTGCATGAACACCTTCGGGTCCTATGAATGCACGTGCCCGATTGGCTACGCGCTCAGAGAAGACCAGAAGATGTGCAAAGGTAAGACCACAGACGAGGGGGTCAAGAGAACTCTATTTGCCGTGCTGGGAAAATATTTCAATGACTTTATACTTCCCAGCTATCTTCTTCTAGGGCTTTACAGAAATGTATCTGACAGCATTTTGCTGATAGAGTTCCAGCCTTCATAGCAAAAGACACTTGATGGCCTCTCCAGTCAAGGCAAAGATAAGATGGGTTGATGGCACACCATTGTCACCATCTTGGGCTCTTATTAAAGGAAAGCTTGCCCTTGCCCGAACTCATCATGATGACCAGTGCTGAAACTTATAAATATAGAATACAGCCAACTTGACAGAAGACTGGTCTCCTCCTGTCTCTGTCAGACAAGAAGATTACCTTGTAAGAGCCAGAAAACCAGAAATATGATTCAGAAGTACTAAACAGTAGCCTGCTCCTGAAAGCATTCTGCTGTTATTTTTTCCCATTACCACTGTATTGTAGACCTGGATGAATGTGCTGAAGGGCTGCATGACTGTGAATCTAGAGGCATGATGTGCAAGAATCTGATTGGCACCTTCATGTGCATCTGCCCACCTGGGACGACCCGGAGGCCTGATGGGGAAGGCTGCGTAGGTAAGGTTCTGTGGCGTCTGCTCACTGAATGTTCTCCCTCCAAGACCGATTTACAGCACTGTTCCCAATCCATCCTGCTGCCAGCCACCTGTTTCTCCAGCTGTTAGAGGTGGTGTCAGAGCCAGATTGCTTCCCTGTCGGGTCCATGGCATATAAAAGGTCCGGATAAGGTGGCGGCAGCCGTGCCCATCATAAAACATATGTGCTCGTGCTTTTTCCTGATTCTGTGTCCTGTAAATCTAAAACACTGAATTTAGAAGTAATAGAAAAACTCCTTGAAACAATTCTATTCATGTAGCAGAATAAAAGTATGTGTTCATGTTCCCATTTTTGTGTCACTCCATGAATGAGGAGAGCATGAAGGCAGATAACTCCAGAACCCTATTGCAGGCTAGGTATCTCTGTGACTTGGCCATAATTGTAAACATGAGTCATCCCTAAAGAGAAGAAGTAGGGCTGGATCTCCAAGGTGACTTCAGGAGTTTAAGCCATTATGATTTCATGATGCATGCCAAAGTCTCGTGCCATGAGAGCTGGTCATGACCACCTTGTCCCTCCCCTCAGCACATTTTCCCCCATGTTGTCACCTGGCATACTGCAGCCCACTATAGTCTTCCTCCTCCTCAAGATAAGGTGGCTCCACATCCTTAATTAAGAATCTGTTGCTCCATTTCTAATCTCTAATACCTAGAAAAATATGGGTAATGTTTGAGGAATAGTTGAAGATCAGTAATTTCACATTTAAAAAAAATAAGAGTACAGTTTCTTAAAAATGAATCTATTAGTGATGGCCTAGTTCTAGGAGTTGGAATGGAGAGTGGCTGCAAGGGACAGTAGGGATCCCTGTGGGAGATGGAAACATCCTAACTGGATTGTGGGATAACTATGATTCCAATTTAGTAAAAAGTCATTGTACACTTAAAACATGCAAACTTTATAGCAAGTAAATTAATAAGGGCTGTTTTTGAAAATGAATCTACCTCAGGAAGAGAAATACAAAGTTGTCTGCCACAGCCTTGTTTGTAGCAATCATCAAAAAAATAAATAAATAAACAACTTAAATGCCTGTCACATGAGGGTATTGAAATAAATGTGGCACATCAAAGCTATGAAATATTAAGTAGTTAAAAGGAATAATATGTAAGTGTATATGTATTGAAGTGGAAAGAACTCAAAGGTTATAGTTATAGAGCAATGTATACAATATGTTACATTTTAAAATTGTAAATAATACCCTAAGTTTTCTGTGGGTATATATGCAAGCAAGAACAAAAATAAGAAAAGATTTAAAAAGGTAAACTCCAATTCATAGAAGGAATTATCTCCAGGGAAGATACTGAGATTAGAGGTCACTGGTCTGAAGTGGAGTCAACCTTATCTGCTATTTTAGTATTTTACAAAAGTGAATTCCTGAATTCCATGAGCAATATAAGACTAGTTTTTAAGTGTCTGCAACAACTCCTCAGACTATAACCAGATTTCCTAGTTTATATTAATCTATTATATATTTCTTTCAAAATATACTACTTAATCAAGTTAAAAATAGATTACATCAGTTTGGTTACACAGTGATTCTTTCAAAAACACTATTCTCCCAAGATCTGAAAATGCAGAAGATAAACCTAGATTTCTAATGTCATGTTTATAGAATAATATGTGTTTCTCAAAACCTTGCACAGGGCAAATGCTAACAAATATGAAGGGTAGAAACAAAATGTATGGAAGACACCCTTAACCATCCTGCCTACTTACTGTACATGAGATCCATTTTCATTTATTTCTCTTTATTTTATTTGAATATGTACATACATTTTAATTTCATCTGGCTAAAATACTTAGACTTGTATGAAAGTTTCTTATCTTTGTAACTAGCTGAACTTTATATGTGTTTCCTGGGAAGAGGTGGTAGGCATTGTGGTCAACTTAAGAACTCAGGTTTCTGGTCCTGAATCTGCCACCACTGAACTGCATGTCTTGAAAGTGACTTAATTCTCTTTGCCTCAGTTTCCTCCTCTATAGACTGAGAATCTATGATTTGGGTGGAAAGAAGAGAAGGGTGTTTCTAGCTCTAATAATATTTATGACCCTACCAACTTAGTTTTTCAAAGACAAGACCCAGGGGAGCATTATAAATCTAAATATTTTCACTGTTGAAAGACACTGTAAAAGATAGTTTTGAAAACTTTTCTGATCCTCAAGCTTCTCATGATACCATGCGGATAACTGAAATTTCTACAAAACTTTTTCAGTCATCAGAAAACTCTTTGTAGAGAAGTTTTACTCAGACACGCTTTTAGAATTAGAAATTCCATAATAAACAGCCAAAATATTATAAATAAAAATTGTTTAAAAATGTCAGAGTGAAAGATAAAGCCACAAAAAAATCATTTAAGTGCTGAGTACAATGAAATTGGGAGTCCAACAAACTTACCCAAAATATGTCAAGTGCAGTAGAAACTGAAAATATTACAGGCTAAAAATTGAAGTTATTAAGGATATTGAAAACCTCTACAGAAAATTATAAACTGAATCAGACATAGTCAATTTATGCAATATATTATGCCCTAGTAATTATTTTTTAATGAATGAATAGAAAAATCCAACAGAAAAAAATTCACCAAGATGGTTAAATTTTAATGAAAATGCCATCAGAATACTTTTTTGGAATCCACTGACATTTCATATTAAAAGCTTTGTTTTAAAGATGATGCAATAAAAATGTGTCATCTCACTTCCACCCCATGAAGATTTTAGAAATACGGCAGAGGAGAGAGAATATTTGTCTTAATTTAAGTGAAGAGGGGGGGTCATAACTACAGACTCTGAAGAGTATCTTTCAAAAAATAAAAAATTTCAAACAAAAACACAGAAAACGTTCAGTGGTATATTCTTTAGACTTTGGTGGAATGCAGGTCTTTCTCAGTAACTGCCCCAGTTTTAAAAGTTCATCCAATGATCTTTGATCAGAAGATTGGGGCCACAGGCAAATAAGAAATAGGAAATGGTTTTGTGGATGCCCAGTGCACTTCCACACTGTTGTGTCAAGAAATGTAGATGTGAAAGAGAAAACACAGTGACATGCTAAGACTTAAAGAGCTTCCCTCAGAACCACACGGACCTCTTAAACTACCTGAAATCTTGGGTGCACGTGCCCTAGGCAGAGAACATAACCAATATAGCCAGAAAATGTTCTTACAATAAGTGTGAATCAAAACTGTAGCCTGTGCCCGGTTCAGCACTGGTGACATGCTTCACTGTTTTTCACCAAGTAGCTGAACTTGAAGAAAATCAAAGATGAATAATTACACAAGACTGCAACAAATGTATACCAACTGGGGAGAAAAGAAGAAAGGAAATTAGACAATAGATGAAAACACCTCAGGAACAGAAGGAGAGCTTAGAAATTAGTTTTGGTAATCTCTAAGAGATGCCATTAAAGAAAAATTCAAATAGATGGAAGAGGCTGAACATGAAGATAAAACAATACCAAAAGGTAATGATTTAGCAGAACTCAGGGCGAAAAAAATGATTGCAGATGTTAAAGCCACATCAGAAGCACAAAACAAGTAGACAGGGATGCAAACAATCAGAAATGTGGATATGGAACTGATTAATAGGAAGATGATTGAGGCGGAAGACAAGAAATCCAAATACATGCTTAAATCCTGGAAAAAGAGGAAGCTGGAAAGAAAGAAATTGAAACTTATTTGAGTATTTGTGAAGGAAAATCTTGTGGAAAATACTTATATCTGAATGTTACAAGAGCCCGTTGCCTCATGAAAAAGTGTTACAGAGCATTGATTTATTAATTTATTGAACCCCTGCTTTGTTTGTGGTTCTTGGAATACCAGAATGAACTAAGAAGGACAAGTTTCCCTCTTGCCTCCTGCAGCCCTGCTCCCATGTTATGTTCTGGTCAGGGAGAAAACAGACATCCAACAAATAACAAAATGATCAACGTGAGAATTTCATGAAGTGGTAAGTCTTCTTAAGAGAATGCAATATTAGTTATTGAATAGTGGCTTCTTTGGGACACACGTTCAAGGAAGGGTTCTCCAGTGAGGTGACCTGAGAGCTGGAACCTCGAAATGAAAAATAGGGAAAAAGCAATATGAGCAAACACCCCAAAAGCAGAAACCTCAGGGGCTGGGGTCTGAGCAGGCCAAGTGGCTTGAAATGAGATCCAAAGGTGGGCCAGGGCACAGTGGGCCATGGCAAAGAGTTTGGGTCTGTGCTAAGCACATCATGGCAGAGGGATTCAGAGTGTGGCTGATGGGTATGAGAAATGTGATTTCTTACCTACCAGCTCTGTGACTTTGGGCAAGCTGGCCTCACTATGTGCCTCAAATTTCTCACCTAAAAACAAATGGGAACTGTGAGAATACTTACCTCATAGGATTCTTGGGAGAATTAAACCTCTAAATTCATGTCAACCCCTTAGAACAGTGCTTGGCATATAGTAAATTCAATTATGTTAGTTGTTTTTATGGTCCAGTTTATTTGTTTTAAATCTCTGGTTGCCTTGTAGATAATGTATTTGCAAGGGAATAGGAGAAGAAGCAGGGCTCATTTAGGTGGATGTTTTACTCACCCAGATGAGAGATGAGGGGAGCACGGATAAAGGTCACAGCACTGTAGAAGTGCGGTTCAATGGAAAAATTCAGAATATACTTTGGAGATACCCCACAGTATTTGCTGATGGACTGACTGTATGTGGTGGATGAAGGAAGAGAGGTATAAAAGATGAGTCCTAAGATTTTTACATGAATAAGTGATTGGATGATGCTACTATTAATATGGAAAAGACTGGAAGAAACAGGTGTGGTTGGGGGTACAGAACAATAGAAATTGTTTTGAGCATGTTAACTGTCAGATGTGCATTAGCTTCCCAACTGGTAACATCAAGCAGGCAGATATATTTATGAGGCATAGCTATAAATTTCTAGCAAATAGGTGGGTGTTTAAAAAAAAAATCATAGGATTCAGTAAGAACACAGAGAGGAAACATAGAGAGCAGAACAAGGAGTGACTGAGCTCTGGCCACCCCAGAATTCAAAGTGATTAAAATATTTAGGAGACTAAAATTGCTAGATTCGGAAGCTAGCAAGATAGGAAGTTCCAGGTCAGTGTGGAATTGTGTGAGTTAAAAGAATGGATTATTCAAGGAGTTAGATAGGAGTCACTTATGCACCGTGCTGCTGCCATGTAGAGTAAGATATAGACAGTGAAGTAATAATTAGATTTGGTGACCTCATCAGGAATAGTTTCTGTGTAGGCAAAGCACACATGGGTTAAGAAAAAGAATCAGAGGTGAGGAAATGGAGACAGTAACCATACATCATTCTTTCTGAGAATTTGTATGGAACCACAAGACAAATCTTGAGAAAACAACCTTGAGAAATAACAAAAGCAATCTGGAGAAAAAAGAACAAATCATACTTCCTAATTTCAAATTATACCATAAAATTATAGTAATCAAAATAGTATGGTATTAGCATAAAAAGACACACAGATCAATAGAACAGAAGAGAAAGCCCAGGAGTAAACCCAGGTGTGTATAATTATCAGTTAAATTCTGACAAAGGAGCCATGAATAACAACAGGGGAAGGACAGTCTCTTCAATAAATGTTGTTGGGAAAACTGGACAGTCCCATGTAAAAGAATGAGATTGGACCCCTATCTTAAACCATATACAAAAATCAACTCAAAATGGACTAATAACTTGAATGAAAGATCTGAAATCATAAAATGCCTAGAAGAAAACATAGGGGTAAATTCCTTGACATTGGTCTTGGCAATGATTTTTTGGTTTTGACACCAAAAGTAAAATAAAGAAGTGACAATACTTAAACCAAGAAGCTTCTGTTCAATAAAGGAAATCATCAGCAAAATGAGAAGCACCCTGTGAAATGGGAGAGAATATTTGCAAACTGCATTTCAAGAGGTTAATATCCAAAATATACAAGGAACTCTACAACTCATCACAAAAACAACCCAATCTGATTTAAAAAGAGACCTAAAAAGACATTTTTCCAAAGAGGACATACAGATGGCTAACACGTACCTGAAATCACTTAAATCACTAATCATCAGGGAAATGAAAATTAAAACCACAATGAAATCAACCTCAACACCTGTTACAATGGCTATTGTCAAAAAAGACAAGAGATAACAGATGTTGACAAGGATGTGGAGAAAAGGGAATATTTGTACACCATACCCTTGTACACTGTCAGTAGGACTGTAAACTGGTGCAACCACTATACATGGAGCATGGAGGTTTGCCTCAGATTAAAAGCAAAACTCCCATAGGATCAGCAACCCCATTTCTCTGTATATATCTAAAGGAAACAAAAACATTATCTGAAAAACATGTCTGTACTTCCATGTTCATCACAGCATTATTCACAGAAGCCAAGGTATGGAGACTATGCTAAGTGTCTGTCAGTGGATAAATAGATCAAGAAAATGCGATATAGACAGATGATAGATCTGTAGATGCAGGTATATAGTGGATTAATATTCAGCCTTTGAAAAGAAGGAAATCATCATTTGTAATGGCATTGATGAATCTGAGGGGCATTATAGTAAGTGAAATGAGCCAGTCACAGAAAAACATATACTGCATGGTAATACATGTGAAATCTTAAAAAAAAAAAAACCTCACAGAAACAGTAGAAAAATGTTTGCCAGGGGCTGTGGAGTGGGGGAAATAGCGAAAGGTTGGTAAAAGGGTACAAACTTGTAGTTATAAGATGAATAAGGACAGAGAATCTAACGTATAACATGGTGACTATAGTTGATAACACTGAATCATATAATTGAAATTTGACAAGAGAATATCACCTAAATATTCTCACCCAAAAAAAAAAGTGAATATATGAGGGGTTTGATGTGTTCATTAGCTCCACAGAAGGAATCTTTTCAGTGTATCTGTATATCAAGTCATCACCTTGTACTCTGTAAATATCTTACAATCTTACTTGTTAATTTTACCTCAATAAATAAAACTGGACATAAAAATAAGAGTCAGAAACAAGGAAAGGGAAAGGGGAAGGAAGGGAAGAAGGGAGGAAGAAATATTTTTGTTCCCTGAAGGGGAACAAAAATATAGTAGTAACTGGAAGGTAATATGTTATTAAGAGAGATTGGCAGTCATTAGAAAATATAGACTGAGGGAATGATTCGTTGAAAAGGAGAATTGTGAAATCTTGGAAGGCAGTCCAGCATATGAGCAAAAGGACTGGCCTCTGAGAAAAACCAGAGAACCTTCATCCACTGCAAAAATGGAAGGTCAAAAGTGAAGTGCAGACAGGAGGCCCGTAGCAGAGACATGAAGTTCTTCCTGTGTAGTAGGCATTTTAGAACACGGGTGTGTAGACCCACTAGGACGTGTATAGGATTGTCAAGGGGGTAGTAGTGCCCATATGAGATTTGGGTCATGAATTAAAGTGAGACGTGTCCTGTCTGTGTGCTGTCTGCAGCCCGTCATGCCGCACTGGGGGAGGCGCTGAGCAGGTCTAGTGGAGTGAGTGTAGGAAAGAGTGATGGACACGGAATGGTCAGTAATTGGCAATCCTGATGTGACCCAGAAATTGCCAAAGGATAGAAAGTGGAATGCTGGAAGTCAAAATTTCAAACGGGGTGTAACATCAAACCAAGGCACACCTACAAATTTCAAGAGAAAGAGAAAAAACAGGTCGGCTGCCAGCAACCAGGCAGAAAAAGAAAATAACTACACAAGGTAGAAAAATATCAGGCTACTATTTTTCATGTTCTCTCAGTAATTCTCCATGCTAATAGAGTAAAGCAAAAGTAATCTAAGATTTTGAGACACATCTAGTTATCTTTCAAGTATAAAAGCTATGTTATATATATCATATATATTGAGAAGAACTCATTCGTATATCCAGCAAGAGCTCTTCTTGAAAAAAATAATTCAAACTAGAATACAAATCAGAATAAAGCTGAACAGCATTAGGAATAGGGTTAGATCAAAAGTCAAACCTTGAACCCTCACATTCTAAAAATAAGACACTATACAGTTTTTAAAAATACCTCAATACTTTTATATATAAAGTTTCTGTAATTTTTCCCCTAAAACAGAAAAAGATATGTTATTACCAAGATATATCACAGTGAATCTCAGAACACTAAGAGCAAAGTGAAAATCCTTTAAGCTTCCAGAGAGAAAAAACAGATTTTCTGCAAATGAACAGTAACAGCAGGTAAAAGTAAGCAATGTAGCAATATTTTCAAAAATATTCTAAGGGAAATATTTGAACTGAAATTCTACAGTCTAGTGAGAAACCAAACAAAAATATGACATTGTCAGAACTGTATTTTAGCCTCTCTGAAATGATTACCAAACTGTGTACTCCCATACATTTTTTTAAATCAAGGGAAAGTAGTAGATACATGAAACAATGGTGAGCCAAGAAGCCCGTAAACCTCATTACTTGGTTTAAATAGATTCTGATAATACATAAAAATAGGTAACAAACCAAAATTTCTAGATGGCATCGACACAGCAGGTGGCACAGTGGTGAGTGAAAAGAAGTAACTCATGCCAAGGCACCTATTACGGCCAGAAGCTTTTGAAACAGATAGGTCTTGGCATGAATAGGCAAGCATCCATTAAGAGCATGTGGTGAAGTTGTTTCATGGTTGCCAGTAGAAGAGAAAGAAGATTATAACCTAAATGTGAGCTGGGGATAAGAGGAGGGCACGGGAAACTAGACTGATTTAGTAAATATTGAGAGAAGGGAGCAAAAGCATTTTAAATACAGAACAATATAAAATGGCAGTCAAGAATCCCAACATATCAGTAATCACAATTGATATAAATAGGTTAAACTGCTGGTTAAGAGGTACGTACTTTAGAAATTCTTTTTAACTCCAGCTTGGTGCTTTCTACAAGAAATGTGCCAAATAAAAATGTGAGAGAAATTGAAAATAAAAAGATGGAATAAGATAGTCTAAGCATATGTGGATAAAAAGAAAGCATATGCAACATAGCCATCAACAAATTAAAGATTAAAAAATTAAAAAGTATAAAAAGATTTGTCATGAGCTCTCTAATGCTCCTAACAACATAGCTTCAAAAGAAAATCTCAAAATTTACAAAATATCAAACTCAGTAAGGATGTAGAGAACTTTCATAAAATAATCTTGCTCTGATTAGATTTGTCACCAACCAAAACAACAGTACTATTTAAATTCCTTCTCCCATTAACCACCCTCACACATCACATGCTCCTGTGATTGTACTCAAGGCCAGTCTAGGTGTGTGGCTGGCCTGTGTGGCCTTTACCCTACTCTCTACTCCTCCCTCACACCTACCACCCATCTGCCCTCAGCCTCACTCTCATATCCCAAAAACTGGCATCCTCTTCCCCCTGAGTTCTTCCCCTCCATGTCTAGTGTCTTGGAGCAAGTTTATCCTTTCTGGAGGCCAATTTTCCAATTCTCCATCAAATACCACAATGCAAATGAAGAGAGAAAAGAAATAAAAAAACACCTTGTTAAGAAAGAATCCACCAGGAAGGATGAGGTAAAGTTGAAAATAAATCATATCCACACATGCCTAGTTTTTACCCCCCATATTAGTATTTTGGTGAAGAAGTTTTAAATAAGATATGACCCACTCAAAAACAATTCCTAAATTATAATTTTATAATCTCAGTATTTATATTATTTGTTTTTCTAAAGATGAAAATGAATGCAGGACCAAGCCAGGAATCTGTGAAAACGGGCGTTGTGTTAACACTATTGGGAGCTATAGGTGCGAGTGTAATGAAGGATTTCAGTCAAGTTCCTCAGGCACTGAATGCCTTGGTGAGTTGATATACAAGTATGATTTACTTCTTCAATTTTTTAAATTTCTGTTTTATAATACTGTCACAGAATAGCCCTACATATATATCCCTGTCTGCTAAAAAATCCCCCAATCTGAGTAATCCACCTACCTCTTCCTAAAGGTACACATCTATTAAAATGACGTATTTGTCCGTGTGTGTTATATGCACGTCTGTGGGTAAGGTAATATAAATAACTACCTTAAATAGTCTTCCCAAAATTAAGATTAATTAAGCTCTATGGAAAATGTGACTTTAGTAAGACTTACATCAGGGGATGATTTAATTCCAAAAGAAAATATTTGCTATGTGAGGTAAGCTCTGCTGCATTAATATATTAAATTAAATGCCACATTTCAAAAATGCAGTGAAGGTTAATTTTTATTTTATGGCACAGAAAAATGTTTTACAAAATATTTTTGTGGGAAATTTAAGTCTCTGGCCTGTTGTATTTTAATGCTAATATGCACACATTATAAACCTTTCTAGTTCATTACAAGCAGGTATGGAAGTGGGGAGTAGTGAAGTGTAAGGCGAGCAGGGATGCAAGAGCAGAGCACCAGTCCCTTGACCTGGAGTAAAACATGTTTCAGCCATATCGGATTTTTCTCAGAACGGTGTCACCTGCTTCAAATCCTAGGAAATTGCTAGTTAAGAAAATATATTTTATTATCATCTCCAATCTAGAACTTTACTAACTAGCAATCTTTTGGAAATAGAAAAGATGAGAAAGTGTACTTTTCTGTGCATATTATTGATAGTTTCACCTTGATGGCTCATAAAACAATATTAAAAGATTTCTTTGCCTGTTTACATTAGAGAAACTCCTTTATTTATACTGAAAACATATGTACTTAATCTAAATGTTTGAATAGACTTTTAGATGTAGAAAAAGTAGATTAGACTGAATATGACTGTAACAGTCTAGAATTTGCTTTTCAAAAACAAATCCCGAAATTAATTTTAATGATACGTTGTATTTAGTCCAATATATGAAAAATATTATTTCAACCTGTTATCAGTATAAAAATTATTAATGGGATATTTTGTATTATTTTTTACACTTTGAACTCCAGTGTATCTTGAAATAGAACATGTCATTAAAATTAATTTCACCTGTTTCCTTTTCCTTTTTTCATTTGGTCACTAGAAAAATTTGAATTACATATGAGGCTCCCATTTATATTTCTATTGGACTACACTGCTGTTGATTTTTAAATAATAGCAATTATCCAATTCTTGGTGCTTGCTGGAACTACAGGTGTTTTATATAATTGCATATTATCCCATCAAATGCTTGAACTAAAATGTGTTTAACCAACTGTTATTGTTGAATTTTTAAGTCATTTCTTCCTTTTTCAACAACCATAAGCAATTTTGTGTTTTAAAAAAACCCAACAAATCCTGATACTCATTTGCTTATATAAAGAAAAACAATTTGATTTTCCTTTTAGTTGGATTCTACAGGAATGAGACTTTACTATCATTTAGTCACTGATGGATTGAAGAAGAAAAAATAAATCAATTCTTAAGTATAGTACCACTTCTGTTCAATTTTATAAACGGTCTATAGTGAAAGAGCTTTCTGTGAACTTAATCTACAACCAGACTTAATCATTAAGCTGTTTTAAGCACTGTGATCATTCTTTTAAAAGACTATTTACCTTTTACAAAATTACTGCTATGAAGGAAAACAATGATCGTCCTGTTTAATTTGAAGCTCAGGAAATGAAGTGTCACTTCCACCCCTTCGATGCTTATGAGCTTACACTGTCATTGCAGACAATCGACAGGGACTCTGCTTTGCCGAGGTACTGCAGACAATGTGTCAGATGGCATCCAGCAGCCGCAACCTTGTCACAAAGTCAGAATGCTGCTGTGATGGGGGGCGAGGCTGGGGTCACCAGTGTGAGCTTTGCCCGCTTCCTGGAACTGCCCAGTACAAAAAGATCTGCCCTCATGGCCCAGGATACACCACTGATGGAAGAGGTAAGGAGTTGAGGGATTCCATGCATATTATCAGTACAGTGAACATTAATTCATGCTTGTAATCTTCAAACGATCCTTGCTTTAAGTAAGTGTTGCTTATTTGAGTGTGCGGAGAAACTCATTCTGTTTGAAAACCAGAAAGTCACATAATTTAGTGGTTTCCTTTTTTTTTTTACCCAGATGCCCTGCCTCATTTAAGAAGTTTATATCTAAAGGCTTTGACTTTGAAGATAATTCTAGCCTCTGACCCACTGTTACTCTGTTTCCATTTTTTTTTGTATGGGTCAATAATATACTAACGTCCTGGAAAAGACCATTTTCCTCTATTAGTACACAGAATCTCGATCCCATTGAGAAATGCTATGACACCCTTTCTTCATGGTGTCTAATGCAAGAGTGACTTTGAGGCCAATCCATAGTACGTTATCACAAATTCCAAATGAGTTGAACTTCAGAGAGGGAGCTTTCTAGATCCCCACAATATAATGCATACTTAGATTGCAGAATGAGTAGACTTTTTAAAAAAAAAAAGGGCTTTCCCTTAGCCTTCATTTGTCTATCTCTTATCACCTCAGATTATTTTTCTTCCCCTTCCATGTTGCCATTTGCCTGAATCGTGGAAAGAGTCCAGCACTATAATGAAGCTGGTTGTTAGTTATCTCATGTCAGTTCCTTAATTCCTCTCTGTTCCCAACCAGTTGTATCCTCACATATGTATTAATTTCTGTTCGGTTTTGTCATGGGGTTTTTTGGCCCCCAGACATTGATGAATGTAAGGTCATGCCAAACCTGTGTACCAACGGGCAGTGCGTCAACACCATGGGCTCATTCCGATGCTTCTGCAAGGCTGGCTACACCACAGACATCAGCGGAACCTCGTGCGTAGGTACGGCCAGGCGTCTCTGTGACTGGGGGTTGGCCCGCTCCTGCTTCCTATGGGTCACTTACTGTTGGTAGATCACCTTTGTTAGGAGGTGTAGAATGGAGACTTTATTTAAATAATGCCATTACTTTCATACTGTGGTTCTTAATATCACAGGTATTCAATAATGTGGGACACAGAATGGTCATCTCAAGGTTTGTTCAGTCAGGAAACCATCTAAAATATACTTTCAACATTTATGTCAACTTAAAATGTACAAATGCATGTTTGTCATACTGTTGATAAAAGGAAAGGACTTCTGATTGTGAATGTGTGTGTTTGCATAGAGAGAGGGAATGCTTACTTTTCCTCATGGCTGTTTTCTGCATAAAACATACCAGTAAGCATCATCTAAGGTTTCCCTTTGCAAAGCAGTCTCAGTACAGAAAGCTCCCACATTTTTACAACCTCTATTTCTCCTTTAATTTTTGTCTCACCCACACTGATTCTGTGCATCTGGGGAGGCAGGCAGGCTTGCCTTAATGGAGTCTGTCCAAAGCATTCAACTTAGTTTTCATGGAAGACAAAACTTGTTTTTCTCCTTCATATTTCATCAACATACCTGATATTCCATTAAAGTACCTATTTTAATACCAAGTGCACCTGGCATGAAGAGGCTAAGAAAAACCAAACCAACTCTTAGTAAGCATTCAACTCACTTGGCTGGGCAGGAGCATAAGAGAGAACAGGCTGTTTATTAATCACGAGCTTTCTGCATTCTGTGGGCATCAGTCAATATGTTTTCTGGAGGAAATGGAGACTGTTCCCTCTCCAGAGTCCTAGCAGAAAAGAGGTGGCATATTCAAATGAGGCCAGTCTAAGAGGGTTGTTTTCAATAAAGGGACCATCTGTGAAGGTGTGGGCAGAGTGTGTGGGAACCACAGGGAGACTGCTGTGCGCTGGGCTGTGCCACCGCTGGGCCAAGAAAGGAGGGGGGTCGGGAGGTGGTTGAAACCTTCAGGGAAAAAGTTCTGTGCTAAGGGCTGCCTTGAGAGGAGCCCTCTCCAGTCAGCCCAGGCCCACCTTGAGGTGAAGGGACTTGAGGGAATAAGGACAAGGCAGAAGACAGAGAGCACGAGAGCCTCTGCATGGTGTCCCTGCAGTGCGGCCTCCTGGCCTGAGAGCAGGGTGCACCCGGATGAGGACTAGATCGGGAGGGGCAAGTGGAAGATTCCAGCATAAGCTGTGGTCCCTCAGGTGCTCAGAGGGAGTGTCAGCTAAGAGGGTTTATGAGAACTTCTGCCATATCCACGTGTCTAAAGAAACTTGCTTTTGCTTTTAAGTTTATGATTCTCAAGCTGTAAACCAACATACATTCATCTAAAGAATAGAATGGGTTTTTCTTGAACCCAGACAATTGTTCAGATATTATAATATTTGTCACAGATCGACCTATAACATCAACCAGTATGTTGCCTTGGAGAAAACTACTCTATGCATCATTTTTCTCTCTGGCTGTTTCCCATGTCCAGTTGGAGAGTAAAAGAAAAAGATAAAGTGAGACCAGAGCGGGAGAAAAGAGGCTGGATGTTCCTTTTAACCAAGAATTGACTCTTAACGTTATTTTCACTCAGATCTTGATGAATGTTCCCAGTCCCCGAAACCATGCAACTTCATCTGCAAGAACACTGAGGGGAGTTACCAGTGCTCCTGTCCCCGGGGATACGTCCTGCAAGAAGACGGAAAGACGTGCAAAGGTGAGTGAGGAGGCCCAGGCATGTGTGGCCCTTGTCTTTCTTTCAGATTCAAATTTAGCTGGTCACATGCATACCTTCATTAAAGCGCATCTTCAGAGGGCCCATGTTATTATTCATAGAAAATGCTACGCAAGAATACATGGTAGGAGGCAGAGGGAATTAAATCCCAAGTTATGGCAGTTTCTCTCTTAAAGCAAACCACACAAATTGTAAAGTAAAATTTGGGGGTGGGGGAATAGAGATTGAAACAAATTACTAAAATAATGTTTATTTTGTTATATACCTAAGATTTCTCTAAACTACCCTATTCTACATTTACTGAAGAAAATTGCAATGAATGCATAAATATGAAATTTTTGCATGGGTAGGGTTAAAAGTAATTATTAACATTAGATAATTAAAATAGCTCCAGTACTATATTGATACATTCAATTTTATAGTAAACCTTATCAGTATGAGACTAATAACTGAGGGAATTCCTAATTAAGTTTTGAAATACAGATTCTTTTCAACAAGATGGAGTTTTTTTTTCCAAGAAACACCAGAAAATAAAATAATAGCAAGCAGTACTATTCCCTTGGACCTATTAGTGAACCATCATGAGTCAGCTTAATTTTGCATGTTGTTTGTAAATGAGTGCAATTAAAGTGTGTGTGTGTGTGTGTGTGTGTGTGTGTGTGTTAAGCTTTAAAATAATGAATTGGTCTCATCTATATCTTATATTGCTTTGTAAATTTATTTGCAACTATTTTCCCATACCAAGTTCTGGTCTAAACAAAATCACATCTTGAGTTGTCTCTTAGTTTAGTCCAACAATCTATTCCGTTTAATGGCTAGAATTATAGACAATGTGTTTTTGCTTCATCTTGTGTTTGTGATGGTGTTTTCATTTGGGTCCTGAGAACCTAACTCAATATTTACACTACTGTCTTCATCAGATTGCAGGTTGTTTTATTTGTATTTAACCCCCATTTATAGGAATAAGTGACCAGCCATGTACTAAGCTGTGCATTGAATGCAAGAATTATAACTTTTGGATATTAGTGTAAGAGCAGTTCATGGAAACCACTATGGTTCATTTAATTTCTTATTTTAAAAAACTTATGTATCACCTTAGCCAGCTTATCACAATGGTCCGTAATATTTATGCTGCTTAAGTCTGTGAAAAGAAACTACTTGCCATGTGCATATGGAAGTCTATAATAAAGTTTCCAGCAAGAGTCTAAACAAAATAGTCCTGAAAGAGCATTCACACCTCCGAGGGCCACTCTGATGTTCATTGTATTCTCGTTCGTTCATTCCAGACCTCGATGAGTGTCAAACCAAACAGCACAACTGCCAGTTCCTCTGCGCCAACACTCTGGGAGGTTTTACCTGTAAATGTCCACCTGGTTTCACACAGCATCACACTGCTTGTATTGGTAAGACAAAATTACAGATGGGAAATTTTGCAAACTTTTGGCAGATGCATAAAAACTGTACTTGAAATGGTAGAATACTGACTCAGCATTTACATTGAGAACCAACCCCTCATAATTAGTGGCCTAAAAATGTTGCCAATAATATAGTTATTTTTCACAACAGTATCTAAAGGGAAAAAGACCTATATAGTCCAAGCACGTGCACAGTAGTATTCCAGCAGTGCCTGTAGCTTGCATTCTAAATATAACCATTGTGTTCAGATAAAATATGATTAAACACTAATTTAGAAATATGCTACTAAACATGCTGTGTTCTTTGTTTTCTAATGTTAGAAGACACATATTAAGAGACTTTCAGCCTCCATTTATCAAAAACCATGACCTCCATCAACCCAAAATATGCTTTAATTTCAAATCTCTGGAAATATGTTTTGTTTTGGTTTTTTTCACTTTTGTCTTGACTGTGATAGTGATTTCTGGCAAACATTTCCCTAAAATGCAGTCTTCACTTAGTGAAGGCTTAGGCTTTCCTACTTCACTTTTTCCTTCATGTAGTGAAATTGGAGTCATGTGGTAATGGCGAATCTTGACACTGTCTTCCCTTATGCTTCACTAGACAACAATGAATGTGGTTCTCAGCCTTCACTTTGCGGAGCAAAGGGGATCTGTCAGAACACCCCTGGAAGTTTCAGCTGCGAGTGCCAAAGAGGGTTCTCTCTCGACGCTTCTGGACTGAACTGTGAAGGTGAGTTTATCTGCTAAAAACAACCTTCACCTAATACAGCAAACTATTTTAATTTACAAGCCACTGAAAGCGAAATTGCAATCATCTCAAAAGAAAGAATTTTCATTCATTTTCATATGTCATTTTTTTTAGGGGCAGAGGAAATCTTGAATGCGATAAAACAAAATAACTTTTTTAAATAGCTGTATATTTCCTAATTATTGATCCAAACAGAATTGAACTGAAAAAGAATTCCATACCTCATATGGTGTAAAGTACTGTACGAGTATACCAGGAAAAAAATTAGACTTTTGTTCCATGATACCTAAATGTGTAAAAATTAAGTGTAAGAAAAAGAACCAGTTATTATAGAGAATTGGAGAAATGTACGGAAAGCAGAGGAGAAAACTGATGGCTATTGCCATTTAATTTGGTCCGAGACTCCCGATTTACTCTTTTCCACAATGGGCATGTGCTATAAAGTCTCTCCCTGCAATAAGTATTTCCTATGAAGTCCAAGGGAACATTTAAATGGGAATAAAGTAAGAATCTGTCTGTGGTCAATAAAATATTACATGGTTCTTCAGTATTTCCATTGTAAGTGCTTATGTATAAGACAAATGTATCAGGATTGGTATATTTTACAACATACCCATGCCAGAGTTTATGAGACTATATACATCCCCTTTCATTTTTTAGACTATCACAGTTTACGTCTTAACTGATGTTAGTCACTCTTTAATCTTAGAAATATGATTTTGAATTCTACAGATAACATTCTAAAATGTTTAAATTTATAGGACTTTTATATGTATCTAATTTGCAGCTAAGAAAAATTTTTCATTTTAATATTTTATATTTGAAGTCATTGAGACTTTGAAAGTATTCTGAACATACAGCTGCTTGCCATGTGAGCTCAACGTGTGACCATCCATATAAGATACATTCATTAATTATCCTCATAAATTTGTTACACACCCATTAGACATACCGATTTTATTTCACTCTTTATGGGTAGATTTCAAAGCCTTAGCTGTCATTCCAAAAGACTGTATTTGTGTGAAGAAGCACTCCATAATGTGTAATAACAACACATCTAAAAATAGCATATTCAAATACTTAAAATTCACATCTAATTAATCTTGAATAGTAATAATGTTTTATGTACAAAACAACTATATTTTTCAGGTATCTCTGTAGTGCTGGTTCTAACCAAAACTGAGGATTACATGTCAGTCACTTTTAAGTCTAATGGAATATGGAATGCAAACATATTTATATTACTTACCAAATAAATCATACCATATGCATGTAATTCATCCAAAATGCACAGTATCCGTGGTCACTATTGTTGATTTGCTGAAATGAAGATGTTTTTTTCAAGCATTGGTGGAGAGCATAAAAATGAGGTGATTTCTTAGAACCATTCTTCTCACCACCACTAATTAATAACCATGTGACTTGGAAAAATCACAACCTCTCTGTGTGTCTTGTGTGTCTGTCTGTTCCTCCAGTAATAACTACCCCAGGTTGTATTTGGAGTGCATTTAAGAAGAGTAGAGGGATGATTATATAAAGACCTTGCTGGGCTTTTTCTTACAGATGTTGATGAGTGTGATGGAAACCATCGGTGCCAGCACGGCTGCCAGAACATACTGGGAGGCTACAGATGTGGGTGCCCTCAAGGGTACATTCAGCACTACCAGTGGAATCAGTGTGTGGGTGAGCACTCACTTGTCACACAGTGTTACAGAGGCTCTACTTTTCTCACCTTAAAGTATCTTTGGGTAAAATGAACACATCAAGAAGGTTGACATTTCAGTGTAGACTTTGAATCCTAGAACTTAAAAACCAGTACCGAGGACTGATGCATGAGGACCCATTTTACTAGTCTCCACATTTGTGTATGTTTGAAGATAGCCATTAAAAAAACGTCATCTTAAGACCTAAAAAGTTAACTCAGCTAGAGCTTTTATCATTTTAATTTTTTGCTGGATGTAATCTTAAGTTTCTGAGACTGGTGTCAAGAATCATCACCTTCATTTGCCAAGATCAGAGGCTTTTTATCAATAATTTAGTATCTTTAGATCTGGGATTGAAGGATTACCCATCCACCTCCCTCATGCAAATCTAAAGGAGTTCAGATCAACTTAATGAGGACCGTCCAGCTGTGCTTTCCAGTCACACGGTTTTAATAAAGGAGGCCAAGTATTTTAAGGTAGAATAAGTATCTAGTTACTGCAAAATTCTGTTGAAAACTCCGGGCAGAAGTGTTTATAAAATAAAATGTGTAGTTACTCAGCTCTGGTCCTTGCATGGATAATATGCATGGAAATTCTCCTTTAAGGAGAGATTGGTCAAAGAAGGTTATTCTCAACTTGAATAGTCAGCCCACTAACTGAGCAGATGCCTCATTTCTTGGCTCCATTTGGATGCACTTCATAGACCTGGCACCTGGCTCACTGTGACACCAACAGAGCAGAAAGGAGAGCAATGGGCCTGCAGAGAGAGGGCAGGGTGCTTCCGGTTCCTCTGTAGGGATTTATATTACCCTACATGTATTTCAAATATTTTACTGTTACGACCCCACTAAGTAAATTAATCCGATTTTATCCTTTGTGGTCTCCTCAAAAGAAATTTCTCATGACAGTTCAGTGAATTGTGAAGAAAATCAAGATAAATTTCAAAGGAAGGAAGCCAAGTCTGGGAAACTCACAATTAGGCTGTGGTCTTGTGCTTTGCCCCACTCAGGAGGGGTGCAGGAGGGGAGCAAAACCACTAATGACCCAGAGGTGAAGGACAAACTGTTAAAGGATTATCAAAATGATAAGTTAGGCAGCCAATCCAGATAATTTCACAACTTAAATTCTTTTCTCCTCATAGATTAAAAAAAAATGCTGCAAAAGTCCTTATGCCCTGATTTATTGATTCACAAACAGAGGTAAAGTGTAGGCACAATCTTCAAAATTTAGGGAACAGTACTTTTTAGATAGCTATTTAAACAGTGCAGAACAATTCTATTACATCATCTTTATAAAACATGAGGCCACCACTTTATTTAGTAAATAACACGGCCCTCTGCATTACTTCTTTAAGGCAAAATAATGATGCTCTAATATTTTAAGTGTCAGCCTAAATAGGACTCAAGTGATCATATGGAGTATCTATAAATATCTAGTGCAAAAATAGCTGCACAGGTTTTCACCAAATATGGTGTGACTTTAAATCAGGGCTATGTAGTATGTCACAGATCCCCTTTGTGTGAACTCAAGAGTGTTCACTTTAGCAAAGTGGTCACCCCAGAGCAGCGGGCAGCTAAGGCTAGAAGCTAGGGTGCCTTTAATCAGGAGAGACCAAGGACAGAGAGGTAAGTGGTTTTGAAGGTGAGTTACAAACTAAATATAAAGAAGCAGATTTCCCCAAACTCACGTATTAATTTGCAAGCTTGCTCTGCTAAAATGGGCATCTGTAAGCAGCAGATCCTGAGTAAGATGTAGCAGAGATTCATTTTGAAAGGTTCTAGGTTATTCTGTGCAAGGTTGAGGAATCCAGCTGGTCTTTAATAAAAATGCTGCCTTTCTTGCCTTGAATCTATGTAACACAGTTGGCATTTAACTCAAAAATATGGCAGGACTATAATTATAACTCATCAGGAACTAATAAAAGTAGAAGAATTATGACAAAATACAAATTGAAATGCCACAAATAATTTTTATCTGTCATTATATGTAAGAGACATCTTCAGTTATTCATACAGTCTTTCAATACAGAATGAAGTATTTCAGACTCATTTGTCTGGGTTCTCCTAGTAAAAGGACAGAGTCAGTGCAACAGATAATATAAATAATACTAAACTGCAAACTTGTATTGTTGTTGATACTACTATTTAAGAAAAATAACACAAAAAACTATCAACAAATAATGAAAAAGCTTTTAATTCAAATGAACATTAAGAAATTTCTAGCCAGTTACACACAATATGTATAACATTCTGCTATATAGATTGTTCAGATGCAGGTAACACTCTGAAATATTTATAAGCATTTATATAATTATTCAAAACTGATAAAGAGCAGATATTACTGCCATTTGCATATGAAGAAAAATTATGTCCTAATATATGAAGGTTTTGCTTATTTTGCATAACTTCCAGCTAGCCTTTTGAAAAGAATTCAGACAGAACTTAGGCTGGAGTCAGCTCAAATTATGTCTCAAACAGAACATATTTCAAAAGTCAGATATTGGAGTCTAAATATACCATGATGTACATTTATAGCATATAAATAGGGGATATATATCGTGGTACTTCCAAAAATATTACATATTTTTAAATATTCCTGTCAGTTGTATGTTTAAATGCAATTTACTCAATTGGTTATGCCTGGTAATTTTTCTGCTTAATACAATGTCTAAGACCATATGCACAGCAGGATCGTTTTGTTAAATTATAACTTCACATTCTCTGTTTGGAGAGAAGCGCTGCATATAAATGTCAGATTTCATTATTAAAGCAGATGAGCCTTGTGGCAGAATTCCAAGTCTTTGTACACACAAATAAAATAGCAGTTATATTTCTGTCCTAGGCCATCTAGTTATTAAGAATTTATTTATATACTTTCTTCCCATGAAGGCTGAGAATTTGTACATATTAGGTAATCATAGCAGATTTTCTATCCAGTGATCCACAGTTCTACATTTGGTGCTCTGATGAAACTCTGGAACTATAATCATGATACAAAAGGTACTTAATAACATATCCCCTTCCCATAACCTCTGTGCTGTATTTGAGGGAGTTTAATTTCCTGTCTGAGAAGCTCCTTCCCTCCAACTCCATCTGCATCTCCCATAATGTCACCAAGCTCCTGTAGATAAATGCACTTCCCTCTAGCTTTTGTGAGCCAGGCACACCCCTACTTGCAAACAGGCCTGTTCCCTCACATGGCCTGAAACACACTTGTCATATGTTAGGTCAACAGTCACACTGTGCCCCACTGGAGTCACAAGAATTTGAAAGACTTCCATGGAACAAATTGTGCCCAGGGTGAGATTTGGATTATAAGAAAGCCCAAAGAAATGAAGCCACATGCTTTAGGTGAACCATTTAAGAGCAAAACTGTAATCTCCAAAGTTAAAAGCACAGTCAGGAGCAACTGAAAGCAAATGCTGCCAGGCATTTGCAGTGTCATGTTATTGATTAAAGTAGTAAAACCTATGACAGCCGATGGCTGGATGCAAAGCCATCCCCAGAAAGCATGGTCTGCCCCTCATGGGTTCTCAAACAGATGAAAATGTATGAGATTATTGGTTCTGTAGATCCAATTAAATACTGTTAACTCAGCTATTTTCATTTAGGGTATTTAAATTGTTTATATTTTTTTTCTCCATATATATCATGAAGACTTCGGGAATTGCTGGGGAGATGGATACAAATACTGATACAGGCTTATTTTAACTTGAGATATAATTCACTACCATGAAATTCACCTTTTAAGAGATACAGTTGCATGGTTTTCAGTACATTCTCTCGAGAATGTGTAACCAGACACTATCCCACAAAGAAACTCCATGCCCATCACAGTCATTTCCCATCTCTCCCTCCCGGAAGCCCCCCAACAGCTAGCAATCTACTTCCTGTCTCTGTGAGTCTGTCTGAGCTACAGGCCTTTGAAGTAATCTGTTCAGAGCACAGAAGAGTTATTCAGTAGGCAAACTGCAAATATCCTTCCCCAGGGGCTGCCAATGCATTCAGAAACAGCACAAAAGGATCACAAAAGGGTAGGGCAAGGTTTTTTCAAAAGCTGTAATTTAGAGAGCGTTGTTGGGTTTTGTTTTTTAATTTCATATGCTTTGCGAATCAGCCATCAGAGTAAACATTTTAAAAATATGGTTTGAGAGAGAATTCCCCTGTAAAATCCAGGCATGTTGACGGGGCTCTGCTTCACCTCCCTTGCCCCATAAAGAGTTTCTCCCTTTGTTCCCAGATGAGAACGAATGTTCCAACCCGAATGCCTGCGGCTCTGCCTCCTGCTACAACACCCTGGGGAGTTACAAGTGTGCCTGTCCCTCGGGGTTCTCCTTCGACCAGTTCTCCAGCGCCTGCCACGACGTGAATGAGTGCTCGTCCTCCAAGAACCCGTGCAATTATGGCTGCTCCAACACGGAAGGCGGCTACCTCTGTGGCTGCCCGCCGGGGTACTACAGAGTGGGACAGGGGTAAGACCAGCCACATCCCCGCAGGCAGGAGAGCAGAGTGGTCCCAGGCAGGCGTCCCTCCCTGCGTGCAGGCTTCCTGGCCGGCAGGGACTAAAAACCCAAGAGGCAGAAGCACTGGTTAGAACACCTAGGTTGAGGGAAGAGGCACCCAAAGACGCACAGATGTGTCTGTACTATGAGGCTGCCTCTTTGGGGGTCAGCAGGAGATGTGAACTTATACAAGTAACCTGAACTGAGTCAGTCAGATCCCTCAAGGCCAGAGACAAGCAAATGTTTAAAAATGCAGCTCACGTGTTGTCACAGACACCTGGGTTGAGAGGGCCAAGTGGCAGTGGCCTTGCCCCAAATTATTCTGTGAATGCTGGTAGGTGCTAGCCCAGCAGTCCCCAAGGAAGGAGTCTGTCCCTGTCACCACATCTGCTTTGTATTGCACAGGGAGGGTGTGTCTAGTTGGTGTGGCCCCATCGCCACAGAGCTGCTTCCCTCTGAGTGCAGCTGTCTCGGGGCCTTCAGAGCAGAGAAGATGGGAATTTAGGAGTCAGTCAGTCACTGAGGGACATGGACTAATCCATCCACCATGGGTACATAATGACACTTGAAATAAAAGTCTTGTTCTAAACAAGTCACTGAAAGCCCTCTCATCGACTCCCTTCCTAACTAAAACAGGAGTTCAGACATCTCCATTGTTGAAGCAGAGACCTTTGTTGGGAGCAGCAATACAGGCTTCAAGTGATAAAGCAACAGAACTTCCCTTAGCATCCTTTTTGGAAATGCATACTTTGTTTTGCCTTCTTGACTCAACTATACCCAAGTCCTTCAGTCTAATTAAACTGGGGAAGCCTGGGCTTCACGTTCAGAAGAATTTTGCTGTTCAAAGTAAGGGAAAATCTTAATTGTTGATGAAAAGAGTTACTAAGAATGTTAGGGTTCTTTGTTGATGAGCTTTGAGTTTGCTTTGTTGGTTTCTTATTTTTGAAAAGTCATTGCTCCACCCCTGGAAAACGAGTCAAGTTAATAGAATCTAACACCTTGCTCCTCATTGCAAATAGCCACTGTGTCTCAGGAATGGGATTCAACAAAGGGCAGTACCTGTCCCTGGATACAGAGGTCGAGGAGGAAAACGCTCTGTCCCCGGAAGCATGCTATGAGTGCAAAATCAACGGCTACTCCAAGAAAGACAGCAGACAGAAGAGGGGGATCCATGAACCCAAAGCCACTGCTGTGAGTACACCTCACTCTGTTTTGTCACAAGATTTTATCTGTATGCCATCACATATATGGGGTTATATGGGGTTACATGGGGCATGTGTGCTGACCTCTCTACTTACCTCCGAAGCTGACAGGAGAATTGGGTTGACACTGTGAAGTACCTGAATGGTGCCTGACATGTTCAGTAAATGACACCAAATGAGGATCTAGCAATGTTGATCTCCCCAAAGATCAGAGATGGCATTGTAAGAGTCCCCCACCAAGAAAATCAAGTCAACAAGTACCTGGCTGTATGAATCAGGCAACTCGCTTCATTTTCTGGACCTCAGAAACTTTCCTTATCTGTAAGACTAGATGTCTCTGGCCAGAACCATAATAATGATGGTTGTATAATAACAAAACAGGCCAGTGTTACATTTACCTTAAGTAGATTAAGGTACCTAAGTGACACTTAAAGATAACTCAGATGCTCATCAAGTACCCCAAACTATAAATCTAGACATTTCTGCATATGAAACCTTCTCTTTGTGGTACTGGGGATGTGATTCTGTCTGAACACGGATGGGCACTTCTGGGCCACCCTAGCCAAGTTCTCACTTAACAGGTACCCACTCAAAGCACCAGTTTTTGCCTGACTAAAATAGCATTCTTAAATCTTCCATTCCACCGGTGAAGTGAGACTCAGTACAGCTGGAGCCAAGCCCCACTGACCTCTTTCTGAAGCTGGCTCAACCCCAAGGCCCCTCCCCATGCACTAAGGGCCCCCAGGAAGCACAATCGCTCCTGGCCTGTGGGCCTTGGAGTGAAGATGCCTCTGGGGACGGTCCTTGCTGCTGGGGTTGGCTGCACTTTTCATTTTGATTCCAGGAGAATAAAATCATTTCCTAAATTGACTTTTTCAATATTACTAATAATCATGATAGTCCATAAAGCCATCAAAAAGATGAAGTGTAACGCTCTGTAGGCTCGGCCCGTAACCGGGCCTGGATAGGGCTGCGAGAGGGTTGGAGATTCCCGGGGCAGGAGCCACAGGGCTGAGGGGGGCGCGCGGCGGGACGATGTTAGGGCCGCGCGCATGCAGCGCAAGGTGGGGAACCCCCAGTGTGCGCTGTGGCTGCCCCTCCCACACGGTTTCCTACTCCTGGTCCAGGTGGAGCCGATCAACCTGGAGAGCGTGGATATGGACAGCCCTGTGAACATGAAGTTCAACCTCTCCGGCCTCGGCGCTAAGGAGCACATCCTAGAGCTCATGCCCGCCATCGAGCCCCTCAACGACCATATCCGCTACGTCATCTCCCATGGCAACGACGACGGCGTCTTCCGCATCCACCAGCGGAACGGGCTCAGCTACTTGCACACCGCCAAGAGGAAGCCCGGGCCTGGCACCTACACACTGGAAATCACGAGCGTCCCTCTCTACAAGAAGAAGGACCTTAAGAAACTGGAAGACCGCAACGAGGACGACTACCTCCTGGGGGAGCTCGGGGAGGCTCTCAGAATGAGGCTGCAGATTCACCTCTATTAAGGCCTGCAGACGTGGTTCCAGATGCAGACCCCTGCTCAGCCAGCCTTCAGAGGCCTTTGAACAATCAGTGGCTAATCTTTAAAGAGGAAAAAAAGACACCTTTTGTTTATTTCCTCCCTGTCTCAGACTTCAGAATGTTGACCCTCACAGAGAGGGATTATTTAGACTCTGGTGTGGCCAAAGATTTGAGTACAAAGGCAACCGTGGTTACTGTACTTTTTATGTAACTTCACTTTAAAATATATTAAAAAAAAAAAGAAAACCAGACGTTCAAGAGATCAGCATATGGCACTAAATGCACAAAAATAATGTGAGCTTTTTTATTTTCCTGTTAGCAGTCTGTAACACTTTGGGTATTTTGCTATAGTTGCTAATTAAAAAAAATATAGATGTTTATTTATTTTTAATGCAGTAATATATGGAGAAATGAACAAACTATGTAAACAAAAAGGGAAACTCACTTGTTTTTCTTTAGATTTATAAAGTTGAGCTATTTCTCTTAGAGGTGCTTTTTAAAAATTCAGTAAATCCAAGAGATGTTTTCTTTGGTTTTCTGCCAGTCGTCCAACTGGTACACATCTGATTATTTTAAAGAAAGCCTCCCAGAGCTTAATGGGCGGTGTAATTGATAATTTAAGACAGAAATGTCATTAGGTCCTCTAGGAAGAAGATCAAAGCCAGAGCAGCTCATGGTGACAGTATTTCATATCGCCAGGCACACCAGCCAACAGGAGATCAAGCACGACCACTGTAGCAAAATACCTTGACTGCTTGTGAGACCAGTAGCATTGCAGGCCAAACCGTACTGTATTTCCTTCTCGTGACCTCAAGGAAGCATGTGTGCTACCCACACCACCTCATTCTGACCCAGGGTGTGCTGCGTACTTGTGGTACTGTAGGCAGCTCAAGAGCCATTGGTCCTTTGACGAGGACCACCTGGCATTCTGTAGTGTTTGGTGCTGTCTTAGATTAATGGTGCATTTATTATGTTCAAGCTATTATTTCAGGATTGCCATATGTGCAAACAAATCATGCAGTACAGCCAAGGAATATATGTTGTTGTTTTTTAAATCCATTTTTTTTTAGAATTTTCATTAATATTGTAGTTATACACCATATGCCTCGTTTTATCATAGCCTATTGTGTATGAAAGATGTTTGTACAATGAATTGATGTTTAGTTTGCTTTAGTCATTTAAAAAGATATTGTACCAGGACGTGCTAGTAAGAGTACATGTCCGTGTTCTTCTCAACCCAAGAACCTGTCCCTGGACCAGCAACCAAACCGCATCTGTGAAATGGCCAACACACGTGCTGCCTCTGGGTTGTTCCTCTCACACCTGTGCTGACCAAAGATTCGTAACCAGTTGTAGCCAGCTGGGGGTCTTTTTGTTTTGTTTCATCTTTTAATAACTAAAAAAAAAAAGAAACTGTAAATTTGTAATCAAGTGTTTGTGAGGAAAAACTGACGGTTTTTGGTTTTGTTTGTTTTTGTAGGTCTATGTATCAGATACGACACTTTTCTTGCAATAAAGCTTATTTTGGGGTATTCTTCTGGCTGAGAGTGTTTCAGGACTACAGCCCCTGTTACGTCTGCAAGAGGGGTTGGGGCCTTTGCTTAAGGGGACCTGTAGGGAAGTACCGGGAGGAGAGCCAGCCACATATCCTGGAAAACAAGGATACCTGTGAGCAGGAGCGTGCCACTAATGATGACAATTGAAAGTCATACTCTAAGAGGAGGACACGTCAAGCAGTTACCCCCAGATTCTAAGCCATTTCGGACCCATCTTCCTGGACACCTCAGAATGTCATCACTTCATCCTCACATATGCTTTAAGTGCCACTATATTAAAGCACCTGTGAGAGAGTGAAACATTCAGTCTTCCTTCTTTAAGGTTTCCCTGAACTTAAATTTTTAAGCCACCGTACAGAGAAGACACACCCCCAGCCAAATGGCATCTTCACCAAAAATAATACAAAGCTTTCTATCTCTTGCAACATTATACACTTTCCTCAGTGGAGAAGTAGATTGATAGAATGGATGCATTACTTAACAGGAACTCCCTTTCAATATAATTCTAAAGTTAGCACAGAAATGGCTTAGAAGTTAATTCAGTACAAGGTCTGAGAATTTGTGTGCTTATATTTTTCATCCAAGGAACAAGAAAACAAGGAAATATGACCGATCTTAATGCTGTTCTTTGCCAATCAGAAATTAGCTGCATGGAATAAGGAAAGTATTTGCCTTGGGGGCATCCTTTAAAACTTACCATGCATATTCAGTTTCATCTGGCATCGATTACTGGTACAGCATGAGCATTGTAATATGAAATTACCTGGAACCAAATCTGACTCTAACTTTGAATGTTGGACAACACTCTTAGTTTAGCTATAACCTCCTCTTAAGGAAGCTGGAGAATCCACGCTATTAGGTGCTTTACACAGGAAAGATAGAAGACCATTAGGGGCTTGACACAGAAGAATGTGCTAGAAGGAAATGACTACTTCAAGATGCTCCTCCCAGGAAGACCCTTCTCAGTCAGCCCTTGGTAGTTGAACTGCAATTCTCTCACTGTGAGCACTGACTGGCCGTGATTAATTTGTGTCTCTTCAGTAACTAGCTGCAAATGACAAGTTCTGTACCATTCTGTCATTCCCAGTAACTGTCCCCTTAGAAATTCCCTTGACTAACTTACATTACACTTTACTCTTGTGCAGTTTTCTGTGAGCCCAGACACATAAACCATGTCCAGTGGGTACATGTATTAATAATAATAAGCAATAATTTAGTCTTCAGCTGATATGAAATCTCTTTCTACTAGCTTTTAGATTTGGAACTTTTAAAAATGTAGTCCTTTTTAGTACTCTCTGGTTTCGTGACTTATATGTGGTTGATGAAAGTACATACAACCATGAGCACTGAAAATAATTCAGGGTAATATATAAGGATTTTACTCCAAACATCTGACCTTTTTCATTATCTAGGAAAAATGCCAAACAGGACCATTCATGCAATCTGTCCTTTCTATGTATCCTTCAGATTTTTTTAGATTTTATTTTGCATTAATTGCCTTCTTGTTTCAGGATGAAGGGCAGGGAATACAACAAAAATGTACAGAGCAGCAGTCTCTTTGGGTCATACAAACCTTTAGGTTCATATCCTTGATGCTTCAAAGGAACAAGTTAATTCACATTTTAAACTGAACCAAGAGGAATTACCCATAGTTGGCCACATCTGACCTAGAAAATGGCAATTTCATATGGCTCAACTTAACAGTTCAGAAATGTTTATGTTTCTCAAGAATGGACTGGAAATCTGAAAATTTCCCTTCTCTTTGAAAGAGAGCTCCATCCACTCCTTTCCCTGCCACTTGTGACCCATTTGTACTCCTAATTCACAAGAGTCCACAAGAGAATATATCTAATTTGTTGAAACAGCTACTGTCTTTCATGCTCCAAAGACTGGAAAGAATCTAAGTCACACACCTTTATGACCTTGAGGGGATTACTGGAAGCTGTTTAAAGACATAGACAAATCCACTGGGAAGGGTTTCAATATAGCACCATGTTTAAAAACAATAAATGGGAAACTTTAGGAATCTTTATTCTAAAGAGACATGGGCAAGACGGAGGTGGCTTAACACCCTACAGGAAGTACGGGTGACTATGTGGTTGCCGTCTGGCCAGCCTGCCTTTGATATTCAGCTCCTGGTTCCATTTCTTTTTTAAAGCGTGATTGCTTTCTCAAATAAATACAAAACCATGTATTTTTCTTGCTTAAATAGAAGTATGAGTTTCTGACCTAATTCTCCTTGATAATCCTTACTATGTACAGAGCAGTGGAGTCCTGAAATACAATGCACAGCTCCTTAAATTCACTGTCGCAAGCCACTGAGGCAGGAACACCTTGCAGGTAAGAAAGAGACCTTCAGGTCAGGTAGACCTGAGTTTGGCGAGTGGGGGAAGCACGGGCTCACCACCTCCCTTAGATCTGCAGCCCCCTCCAAGGTCCTGTCCTCCCACCTCGAGATGCACACCGGGGTGGAAATCTCCCCGTGTCCTGGTATGATGTGCCAGGCATTAGAGCATACCATTATTGTTTGGTTAGGAGTGTCCAGTTATAAATTAAAGGAGGCAGAAAAAAGAAACAGGTCCCACCATCACAATGCTGACATCACTCGGCAGACTTGTGTTTGAATTCCTTCTCCCGGGACAAGCCAAGTAACCTCCCTGAGCTTGGTGTCTTTCCCAGGATGATGTTTCCCTACAGTGTAGCTGAGAGGACTGAGTAATACGGGACAGGCAGTCTGCCAGCACAGGGCCAAGCACACAGTGAGCACCTCGTACCAGTCAGCAGCTCCTCCTCCACCTCCCCCTGCCCGCCGGGGGGTCTGTAATCACTGATGGGAGAAGGTGCCCCCATATTCACACAAAGCTGCTTCCTAAGCATGGCCCTGGACTGTGGCCTCCCCACTGAACTGTAGGACCACATCCAGATAAAGAGCACCCAGGACATGGCTCCTAAGTGGTCTGCACCTCTGAAGTCCTGGGGTGCTCACGAGCATTTACAATCTCCACACTGCTCTCCACAGATTGGAGTCTTGGGCTACAGCCTGGAAATCTGTGCCACAAACACAGCCAGAGCCCTCATCTATACAGGCCCCTAGGGAACCAGACATGAAGGAGAACGCAGACATCTGGTCCGCTGTTTTAGGAGGAGGTGGTGTCATGAAATGTCAGAGCTAGAAAGGCCTTTAGAAACCTAGCCACATTTGCAAGTGAGGAAACCAAGGCCCAGAGTTATAATGGAACTAATTGCACTGCTAGTTTCCATCACGCTGAGACCAGAACCCTGGCTGCCCGGCTGTAGTCTGGTGCTATTCATATTTCCACTACATGGTAAGCCTATTTGGATCCCTTTGAAGCCCTGAGGATATAGGCCAGTTCCCATGGTTTGGCTCACACTGAATCCAAAAATGTTTTCCAAGTACTGCATTCTGTTATGTCTGCCCCACCCGTGGTGTAACCGCTCCCAGCCTCCAATAGAGCGGAGATGTGTGTGCTTGCTAGTACGCCAAGGTGCTAGCTGCTGCAGAGGAGACCCCACCTAAATCATATACATCCTTAAAAGCAAGCAACAGCCCTGGCTTTCAAAGAGTTAAACATGTTATTTAAACCAGACCTTCAAAACTTTAAAAACACATACAGGTTTGTTCTACTAAGAATGCTGAAGGAAAGCATACTAGTTGCTTGTGTTTCTTAACTGTCTTTTTTTTTTTTCCTTTCCTGTGAGCCTAAAAAAGATATTACTAGATTAAGTTGGCTTACTTTTGAAACAGCCAAGAACCAACAGCTCACATCAGTCACCCCTGTTAGGGCTACAGATTAAATATCAGGATATAGTGTAGACATTTTCCAAAGGAAAACAGGAAAACGCTTTACATGGATTTTCTGAGCAAACCATAGGGAAAGTTAACGTTCAGAGCCTTCCCCAGACAACTACGGCTACATGTGTGAGTTCCAATAATGAAACAGTCGTTGAGGCTATGAATGGCCAATTCCTGAGAATGTGTCAAAAAAGCAACCCCTTGGCCTGTTGAAGCTGCCTGGGCTTCCGCTCCTAGATTTACCCCCTTCCTTCCTGTCTGAGCCCAGCAGCCCTGTACTTAGGGAACCCCATCTCTTGGGTAGAATTAGGGCCTCAGGCCTACCATTTGTGACTCTCAGGCCTAAGGCAGGGACCTAAGACCCATGGTCATGTACTAGCCCCTGGAAACTCGACCTCGGATGAGCCTTTTATTTTAGTCATTCTGGTGATTCAAAGAGCCAAGGCCAGAAAATGTCTAATGAATAAATAAAGGAAGGGAGAGGATTCTAAGCCTTTCCATGCAGTCTTCCACCATGGTAGCAATGGGCCAGCACAGGCCACCATGGGGAGCTGGCCCTCACCCAAGGAGAGGGTGTGTTCCTGTAACGATTTCACTGGACATCCTCTGGACAGGTTGCTCAGGATCACTCTGGAGATGTTTTCCCTTCTTTCTGGAAGACTTTCTTGATTTACACTACTTTGTGCGCCTTTCCTGGGAGCCCCATGGATGGCACCCAGGAAAGATTCTTTGGGAAGTCTGGGTGTGATTTGGATCTGTCGCATGAGGGGGTCCCCAATCTATGCCTGGACTGAAGCTGCTGCCCCTTGTTCTGTGGTCTCATGGGTGGGAGAAGAGGCCTCATAACTTCTCTTCTGAGAGAGATTACACAGTTATTTTTTAAACAAACTGACTACATGAATATTTGCTGGGTTTCTATTATCCTGCCCCAAAAAGGTTTTCCTTCTTAAAGTTTACCATCAATTGAGAGAAGCAAGATAACCACATGGTATGATGTGGTGAAGGACCATAATGAGTGGCTCAGACCAGTGGCTTTGTCCTGGAAAACGGAGTAGTCATTTAAATGTAGAACTATTGGAAATGGTCTCCTGGAGCTGGTGGGAACTGAGTGGGACCTTGTAGAATGAGGCAGGTTTGGGTACAAGGTAGAGAGTAAGAAGGGTTTTC